GATAATTTTGTATTTTTCAGAGACAGAGTTTCTCTGTGTGGTCAGGCTGGTCTCGAACTCCCGACCTCAGGTGATCTGCCCCTCAGCCTGCCAAAGGTGCTGGGATTTAACAGGCATGAGCACTGTGCGCCAGTCTCTTTTGCTGTTTATTTGTTAATTCATACAGGACAAGGGTCTCACTATGTGCTGCGGTAGGCTGGTCTTGAACTCCTGGGCTCAGTGATCCTCCTGCTTTGGGCCTCCCAAAGGCGGAGAACAGCAACACGGTTGAGCGGGCCGTGCTGCGTGGCTGTTGTTAGGGCTTTTTTTTTTTTCTTGAGATGGAGTTTCACTTGGTTGCCCAGGGCTGAGTTGCAATGCGGCAATCTTCGGCTCAGGCTGGCGCACGCTCCACCTCCACCTCCTGGGTTCAAGCAATTCTCATGCCTCAGCCTCCTGAGTAGCTGGGATTACAGGCATGCACCACCACACCTGGCTAATTTTTGTATTATTAGTAGAGACTAATATTAGGTTTCTCCATGTTGGTCAGGCTGGTCTCGAACTCCCGACCTCAGGTGATCTGCCTGCCTCGGCCTCCCAGAGTGCTAGGATTACAGGCGTGAGCCACTGTACCTGGCCTTCTCTTGTTTCTTAAGATGTATAATTAGGTTATTGATTTGAAATTGTTCTCCTTTTTAAAAGTAAGTGTTTACAGCGTTAAATTTCCCTTTAAGCACTGCTTTTGCTCCATATGTTGTATTTTTGTTTTTGTTTGTCTTAAAGTGTTTTCTAATTTTCCTTATCATTTCTTTATTTCTTTTTTTTTTCTTTTCTTTTCTTTTTTTTTTTTTTAGAGATGGGATCTTACTCTGTGGCCCAGGCTGGAGTGCCCTGGCTTGATCATAGCTCACTGCAGCCTCAACCTCCTGGTCTCAAGCCATCCTGCCACCTCAGCTTCCTGAGTAGCTGGAACTACAGGGTGCAGCACCACACCTGGCTATCGTTTTCTATTTTTTATAGAGATGGGGGTGTCACTATGTTGTCCAGGCTGGTCTCAAACTCCTGGCTTCAAGTGATCCTCCTGCCTTGACCTTCCAAAGTGCTGGGATTACAGGCTTAAGCCACCATGCTCAGCCTGATTTCTTTTTTGACACTGGTTGTTTAGGAGTATGGTGTTTAATTTCCACATATTTGTGGATTTTTCAGTTTTCTTTCACTTCTCGATTTCCAGCTTTGTTTTGTTGTGATTGAAAAATATACTTTGTATGATTTCAGTCTTTTAAAACTTTATTGAGACTTGTTTTGCAGTCATACAGTCTGTCTGGAAGAATGTTCCATGTGTACTTGAGAAGAATTCTTGAATATATTCTGCCCTTGTTGGGTGGCATGTTCTGTATGTATCGTTAAGTCTAATTGGTTTAAGTCTTCTATGTCCTCATTTCTCTCCAGATGTTCTACCCATTATTGAAAGTAAGATATTAAAGTCTCTTACTATTATTGTGGAACTGTCTATTTCTCTCTTAAATTGTGTTGTTTGTATCATATTTTGATGTTCTGTTGTTCGGTTTGTATATGTTAATAATTGTTAATCAACATACAATGTCCTTCTCTGTCTCTTGTTACAGTTTTTATCTTAAAGTTTATTTTGTATGATATTAATATAACCACCCAGCTCTCTTTTGGTTACTATTAACATTACATTGCTTTTTTTATCCTTTCACTTTGAACCTATTTGTGTCTTTGGATTTAAAGTGATTATTTTGTAAGTAGCATATAGCTTGTTCATACTTTTTAATCACTATCTGCTTTTTAAGTAAAATTCTATTGGAACACAAACACACCTATTTGCTTATGTGTTGTTTGTGGTGGTTTTCATACTGCGGTGGCAGAGTTGAGTCATTGCAACACAGACTATATAGCTTGCAAAGCCTTAAGTAGTTACTGTCCAATTCTTTCCAGAAAAGGTTTGCTGATCCCTGGTCTAGAATGTCTTTTATAGTTTCCCTGGTTATAGTTAACTACAAATGGTCCTGTTCAGCAGTAGTCTGGTGAGATTTGTCACATGTAGCCTGTTTTGTCTCTCCTGAAGCTTGTGAAATGCAGTTCTTAGAGCATATCTGAGCATCCTCAAGGCCTCATTCGGCTGAGAGGAGAAGCAGGCTTCTACCTCTGAAGCTAGGGTGAGAGGCAGTTTGACTGGGATGTGGCCCTTTAATGGTAGCTTCATTTGTAGGGTGGCCAACTCCTTTGGTTTGCCTGGAAGCAAGGCAGTTCCTGGAACATAGGATTTAGTTTTAACATCTGGAAAGCCTGGGCGAACTGGAGAAGTTGGTCACCCAGCTGGCTTTTCAGAGTCTTACCTATGCCCCCTTACCCCAGTACCATTCAGGGAAACCCCCAGCTATGCAAAGCGGCGGCGACTGGCTGGCCCCAGTGGCTTGGCATCCCCTCGGCCTCTGCAGCGCTCAGCCAGCGATATCAACCTGAAGGGGGAGGCACAGCCAGCAGCTTCTCCTGGACCCTCGCTGAGAAGCCTCCCCCACCAGCTGCTGCTCCAGCGGCTGCAAGAGGAGAAAGATCGTGACCGGGATGCTGACCAGGAGAGCAACATCAGTGGCCCCTTAGCAGGCAGGGGCAGCCAGAGCAAGATCAGGTAGGAGGGGGCTGGGAGGCCCTGGAGGTGTGGGGAGGGTGGGGTGCTGGGACCTGAGCCAGGAGGAGCCAGCACTGGGAGGCAGAGAGAGGCCTGGTGGTGCCTAGCACCTGTGTAGTGATGGGCTAGGGCTTCCTGGTTGGGGAAGGGAAGAAGGTATCTCTGGAGGTGGGGACAGGCACATTCACGCTGGTTTGCGGTTGGAGCTGGGCTTGCCATGAGGACAGTGGGCAGTTGAGGGAGTGTTAGGTGGAGAGGGTATGTTCCCACCTCTGATTTAGAAAACACACTGTAGTGTCAAACATGGCTGGGAAGAGTCAGGGCTGGTGGCCTGTGGTAGGGGGGTCAGGGATGGAGTTGCCATTCCTGGAGGGCTCAAAATCTACAGGTAAGCCCCACCCTGCCCCCAGGGTATAGTCATGGTTTCTCCCAGCCCTGGTGCACCTACAGGACTCTGTGGCTTCTATTCTTTACCCTCACCCTGAGGCCTGGGTCCCTGAGGCAGGGATGCCTGGACTGGAGCCCACTGGCCTCTATGGGCTGTGCATTGGGTGCTGAGGTGGGCACTGGCTCTCAGATAGCCACTTTGTGCCTGGGCTTCTCATCAGTAAGTGGAAATAATCCTACCCAAGTCATTGTCTTTGGGAAGCCTTCCAGAATGCCCTGGGCAGGTGAGGGATCACCTGGCAGAGCCTAGCAACTACCGGTGAAAGCACCTGCCCTCCCTGTGCTTTGAAGGCAGACACTGTCTTTCTCGTTTCCTAGTTTCATCAGAGCCAGGCACTGAGGAGGGTGTTTGGCAGACATTGTTGAGTGAAAGAGTTACATAAACAGTATGTTGTTGTCAGGATGGCCGCCGGCCTTTACAGTTCTGTCAGTCCATGCCCGCTGTTGGGCTGAATGGCATGTGTATACTAGCTTGCTTAACCTTGACGACGTACATGTTCATGCTCTATTATTACCACGTTACAGATGAGTGTCCTGGTACCCAGCTGGGGCCTGTGATGGGTCCAGGGTCAGAGAGCTAGGGATCAGCTTCACTGGGCCCCAGGTAGACCCAATCCCCAACTTTCTAAGCCTAAGTGTTCAGCAGAGGGCTCAGGGTGCAGCAGGGCCTATGGAAGGCACCCCTTCCCGTGCTGCTGCCTCTGCTCTGCAGCCTGTTCTCAGCGATGTCTCCGTGTCTGTCTCTCTGCCCGGACTTGTTGGACTTGCAAGGCTGGCTGTACTGCCCCAAATCTCAATTCTCCCCTGAAGCTTTTTTATAGACCCGCGGGTTTTCTAAGGGCTGTGCGGCCCAGTGGCTAAAGGAACACATTCTGCATTCCGGATGTTTCCATCCCGCAGAAAGGCAGCTCCTAAGTTGGAGGCACGTGTTGCCACAGGCTCCTCCTTGCATTCATTTTTTGTGTGTGTTCATTCATCCTTTCAGCAGACACAAAACTAAGACCTGCTGTGTGAGGGGCTGCAGCTCACCTGCTCCGTGGGGACGGCAGAATTCCTTCCTCGCAAACAGCTATTAGGTGCCTGGCGCGTCAGAGGTGTGGGTCTCAGGAGGTTGACAGCTGAGGCCCGGGCTTAGCAGCAGTTAGATGGGCAGTGGTCCCCATATGGGGCTGCCCTGGTGAGTGGACGAGGTCTGCAGCGCTCGGGAGGGGCTGAGGAAGTTCGGTGCCCCTAGGAGGGTGGTCACCTCTCCGGGAGGCGAGGCTGGGCCCTGCGCTGCGCGGGTCTCAGGTGGCGGCGGCTCCGCAGCGCCCTCTGTCGGCTGAGCCGGAGCCGTGCCCCGACCCCCAGCAGCCGCCCCAGTATCACACCGGGCAGGGCGGGGCGAGTTTGGGCTGAGAGCCCGTCACTTAGCAGCTGGCCCAGGGGTCAGGATTTTAGAGTAGTCAGGTGTTGGCAACAGCGTGACGGACAGCCCACAGGAGGAGAAGGAAAGGTGCCCCTGTGTGACTAGAGCGTAGCAAATGCCCAAGCCCCAGGGAGCCTGGCTCTTGGAAGAGCGTGTGGCTCTGGCCTGCCTGGGTACTAGGGAGCCAGTGCAGGCTTCTGAGCAGAGCCACAGTGGAGAAGCGAGAGCTCAGACTCTGCCCCAGTCGGGGAGTGGTCTGGGGAAAGTGGGCATCACGCAGTGGGCGTGGGCAGGGGCCGGTGTCCAGGACGAGGGGACACAGGCCTAGAGGGGGACTGGGCGCCCAGCGATCCGGGCCCCGGACCCGGGGGGTGGCGGGGGTGCCGCTCCCTCCCGTTCACCGGCTCCAGGCGGCTCTGCTGGTGCCCGAAGCCCCCGTTCCATCCCCCGCTCCCACTAGGCTGCCCTGACCACCGTCCCGCGTCCGCGTCTGAACTCCCCCTACCGGGGGTCGGCGGCGAGGGGAGGGCGGGAGGGCGGGCGCGAGGGCCGCCCCCGCCGCCCGCAGAGGGAGGAGCCCGGCCACGGAGGAGGCGGGGCGCGCGGGGCGGCCGCCGGCAATGGAGCGAGCCTGCGCGCCAGGGAGCGCAGCCGCGGCCCGAGCCCTGAGCGGGCGCGGCTCTTGCGCTGGCGGAGCCGGCGGGCGCGGCGGCGCGGCCCATGGAGCGCCCCGGGCCGGGCCCCGGCGGGCAGCGGCGCGGGCGGCGGCCGGCGGGCGCTGCGGCGCGGCGTGCGGTGAGGCCGGCGCGGGGGCCGGGCCGCGCGCCATGGAGGCCCGGCCCGCCGCTTCGCGTGCCCGCTGCCCCCCGGCATCGCGTCCGACCTACGTGTTCGTTTACAGCCCGAGCGGCCCGGCCGGCCCCCGGCCCGCGCCCGGCCCCCGCGCCCCCGCCCGCCGCCCGCACCGCCGCCCCGGGGCCCGAAGCGGAAACTTTACAGCGCCGTCCCCGGCCGCAAGTTCATCGCGGTGAAGGCGCACAGCCCGCAGGGTGAAGGCGAGATCCCGCTGCACCGCGGCGAGGCCGTGAAGGGTGAGGGGCGCGCGGGGGGGCGGGCCCGGCGCGGGGAGGGGGCGGCGCCGCGCGCGGTACGGGCCGGGCCGGCCGGGGCGATGGCTCTGGGGTCTCCTCCGCCGTGGCGGCCCTGGGCCCTGGTGGGATCCCTGGTGTCACCGTGAAGGGCTCTGCCTGGGAAAGGTTCCTGCCGTGCGGGTCCCTCCGGTGCTCTGTCGTTCCGGGCTCCCTGTGTCACCACGGAGGCTCCTCTCTCGCCATAGGCGTTGCTGTGTCCCCCGGGGTCTCTGCCTGAAGGACCCTGTCCCATTACAGAGCTTCCTTGCATTGCGGGGTTCCCGTGGCACTTCTGCAGCTTCTCCATTGGAGGCCCCTGCGATGTGGGGGACCCTTGCCGTCGTGGGGTGTCTGTGACCGTCATGTGGGTGTTTGTGTTATGCAGGCTTCTGTCACTGGGGCTTCCTGTGTTCTGGGGGAATTGCGTGCCATGACAAACCCCTCTCATTATGGGGGTCTCGGGGTCACCGCTGGGGTCCTAGCCTCAGGGCCGGCTGAGGTGGAAACAGCCCAGCTGGTGCATCACGTGGCCTCACCCACTGGCCACAGCACGATGACCCCGAGCTCTTGGCAGTGACCCCTGGGTGGGTGACAGAGCCAGGATGGGGGTCGGTTGAAGGGGCTGGGGGAGCGTGGTCAGCTGGGGATGGGGCCAGCAGCAGGAGTGTGGCCCCTGCCCCTGCCTGCACCCCTCCCCGAGTGTGTCCATCTGTGTGTCTCTCTGTCCCCCACATGCCCACCCTGTGCCGAGCCCATCTGTTCCTTTCTCTCTTCTGTGTGGATCCTAAAATCTTCCCAGGGAAAAAGCCGGGAGAAAGTGGGAAGGGAAGGAGGGAAAGGGCAGGGGGTGAGTGGGCAGAACCTGCTCCCAAGGTGGGGTGGGTGCCCAGCTCTGCTCCCCACTGATGGCCTGTCTGGCTTCTTCCTCCAGTGCTCAGCATTGGGGAGGGCGGTTTCTGGGAGGGAACCGTGAAAGGCCGCACAGGCTGGTTCCCGGCCGACTGCGTGGAGGAGGTGCAGATGAGGCAGCATGACCCACGGCCTGGTGAGTGACCCCACGGCCCCCTGGGCAGCTCCCAAGGGGACCACCCCTTCCAGTTTCCCTTCGGTCTCTCTTGGTGCTAAATCCACATGGATATTCGCAGAGAAAAGACTAGAGGTAAACTGAAACAAACACTCAAAGTAGACGCAAACTTGTGTACATGACACAGACACGTGTGCACACACTCTGCATATATTTGGGAACATGCGTGTATGTAAGCTGACACTTCATGTGCAGTGGAGACACATAGGACATGCGTGACGGGGCCTCTGTCTGTGTGATCCCACACTGACTCCCGGTGACTCGCACCCCATCGGCACAGTCCTTCAGAAACACCAGGTGTGTGGAACGCATGATTTCTGCGTAGCTGGCAGACATGTAAGGAGGTCAGTGTGAGAAAAGAGGCGTTTTTCCAAAGTGGACAGATTGTCCAAGTGGGCAGAGCAGGGAGGCCTGGAGCAGCCAAGAGGAAATGAGGCCAGTTGGGCCTGGAGGTGCCCTGGTGAGTGCCCTGGGGCAGGGATGGTCTGAGGGCAGCAGGTGAGGGTGGGCTGGTCCTCAGCCTGCAGGGAGGATGTAAAGGTGAAGGCTACAGCTCCTGGGGTTGGTGAGTGGCCGCTGTCCAGCCCTGCTGACCATCTGGTCCTTTGGCGGCCCCCGGGCTGGAGCTGGGTGCATGTATTGGGGGTGCCCTTGTGAGGAATCCTCAGGGGTCCCAGGAGGCCTCCAGATCCATGCATGTGCTTCTGTCCTAGAGGGCTGGTGGGCCAAGCAAACCTCTCCTGAGTGACGGTCACTGGGGGTCATCGGTGGTGTGTCTGGATCAAGGGTGCATGCACCCTCCCTCTGCATGTGAAGGGCTCGGGCCTGGGGTTACTGTGTCCTCATCTTTGGGATGAGAGTTTCCCAGCGACTCCACCCCTGTATGGCCTGGACGCCTGCCCTGTGCTGAGCCCAGGAGAGGCCCAGGGAGGCAGGAGCTTGGCCACTGACCCTTTCCTGAGCAGGTGCCCTTTCCTCTTTCCTTGGCCTTGTCCTGCCTTGCTCTGACGGCTCTCCTGGTGGCTTAGAGTGTGGAAGGGACTTGGCCCCCTGTTCTCAGCCCATGGAGGGTGGATAGGACAGGGTCCAGATGGGAAATGCTGTCAGAGATTTGGGCCCTGGTTCAGACAGTATGGGAGAGGGGAGGGGAAGGAGAGGCGGGGGGAATCCACACCTGTGGCGGAGCGGGTCTTGAGCTCCCCCACGTGGTGATGAGGAAGGTTCTGGTTTGAGGATTGTGTGGAATGAGGGGCATTTGGACCTAAGTCTGAAGCTGACGGAGAGGGAGGGAGGTTTAGGCTGGAGTCAGAATTGGAGAGCAGCAAATGTTTTTTAGGTGTTTGTCATGTGCTGGGCCCTGTGCTGGGAGCCGGGATCACGGAGGCTCAGCTGGAAGCCTTGTGGGAGCAGTGGCTGTGACGAGGGCCGTGTGAGCGTGGGAGCTCCCTGGGTTGACCTGAAGGAGTCAGAGAGGGCCTCAAAGCAGAGGCACTGTCTGAGCTGAGTCCTCTAGGTGGTCAGTGGATGGGGCTGAGGGGACAGTCGTGTGTGCAGGGCCTGTGTGTGTTCTACAGCTGTATGTGTCAGCAAGGTCTGCTCTGAGTGCCTGGCACAGCTTTAGCACTTCTACATGTAGAAGTCGTTGACTCATCCCAGCAGTCCCGAGAGGTGGGGCCACTTGTTATTATTCCATTTCTCGGGGGTCATATAGCCCTGAGGAGCAAAGTCTTGTTTGCAACATAGGCAGCAAGTTCTACGTGAGTGGAACGGCTGCGTGGGTGAAGGGCAAGGCTGGCGTGGGGACCACGAGGGTGGTCAGGTGGCCATGGAGTCAAGGGACAGCGTGGCCTCATGGCGGAGGGAACCCAGCAGCAGCGTCTGATTGTGCAGGTTGTGTAGGATCAACGCCCGGGGTGGGCAGGGCAGAGCTGTGGAGAGGAGTGGGCCAGTGTGGGCTCGCAGAGCAGCCAGTGTGGGGTTTGGGTGTGGGCTCCAGGCGGCAGCTGTGGTGTGTGTGACCCAGGGAGTGAGTGTCAGAGGTCCCGGGGTAGACGGGAGTATTTCATGAGTGGGCAGCAGAAGAGGAACGTGCAGAGGTTGCCTGTGAAGGGTAGGGAGTGGGAGCAGTGACAGTCCCCTCTGACCTCGGCTGCAGGCCCCGCTGACCACGCTGCGCAGAGCGTCTGCTCTGGGATCCCGGGGCCGAGTTCTGCCAGAGGCCAGAGTGCAGCCCAGGAACAGGAACCTGCTTCCAGCAGGCCCAGATTCACTCCCCCCACCCCCAAAAAAAAATCCATTTCTGGGACTGGAGTGAGGACAGAAAAGGACTTAAAGGTCAGGGAGGGGACACAGTCCCTGTGCATGCAGGGGCTGGTGCCCAGGGCCTGTGCCGCTGTGGGATCGGGAGACGAGTCCTGGTCACTTACCGAGCAGAGAGCGGGTCTCCCACAGCACCTCCTGGCAGGCAGAGGGTGGAGCTGTGAGGGAGGGAATGGAGAGGCGAGGTCAGGTGCGTTCGGGAGGCCCAGCATGAGCAGGGCCCTGTGCCTTCCCTCCCCTCCCTCCTTCCCTTTCTTGGCAGTAAGGTCAGCACTTGGGTGGGTAGTGGAGGATGGCTGTGTTGGGCATTTTCTCTGCAGCTGGCTTTTATGTGTCTTATTAACAAAGCTGGAAAAATGAATTTGTGTTATGTAATACATACAATTTGTTTGGTTGACAACATCCGAAAACAGGAGGCTGGTCAAGTGCAAGTTTGGGGGGTTCTTTAGCAGGCAGCACCATGACACTATGTGGTTCTGTCGACATAGAGAAGGGTGTGATGGAGGAAAGGAGGGGTCTGATGCCCCACCTGAGCGGTGATGAGGCTTGGCCTGAGCTGGCCTTAGGTTCGGCAGGATGAGGGGTGCAGGTGTGGTTGGGGAATGCCAGGATAAGATAATAAGTCGTTAGAACCAAGGGGCTCCTCCAAGTTGGAATTTTTGTATTCTATATGGGCAGGCTTAGAGGGGACTGTTGACTTACTGAGAGTCACACAAGTTAGTAGCTGGGACCTGGAATCCAGCCCAATACTGTTTTGATATCTGTGTCTTCTGATAGGAGTAGGTGCCCTTTCCTCTTTCCATCCGGCCACTGCTCCACCTGTGTTTACAGCCGTCCGTCCTTTGACTCACCCACCCATCCCACCATCGTCTTCTTACCGTTGACTCACTAGCCAACCCAATCCACCACCCCTCCCTTCCACCATCCATCGATTCATCCATCCACCTCTCCACCTACCTGTCTACCCACCCAGTCCATCCATCCATCTACCCATGCATCTGTCTGCTCTTTGACCTATCCACCCATTGCCCCTATCCACCCATTGCCCTCTCCTTCCCGCCCTCCATCCACTGGTCCAGTGCCTTTCGATCCACCCTTCTGTCCATCTATCTCATGTGCACCTGTCCACCCATTACTCTCCTAGTCAGCATGCAGAATGCCTGCAACACACCAGCTGCTGTGCTGGGCGCTAGGATCACAGAGATAAAGAACATGTGGTCCTTACCCTCAAGGAGCTCACAATTAGTGGGGGAAACAGGTCATCGAAAGCTGCAGGTTCTCTTTCTGATCTCATTTCCTGCCACTCTCTCTAGCTCCGTGTGCTCCAGCTGCACAGGCTCTGAACTCCCTCAAATGCTGCAGGCTGATGCCTGCCGTGGGCTTCCCCCGACCACCCCCGCTCCTGGGAAGCCCTTTGCCCACATATCCACAGGCTGCTCCCCATCCTCGGCCTCTACTCAGCCCTCCGTGGGGGTGAGGCCTTTGCGTGCCTTTCTCTGCCCTCCCTGATCTGCTCACTGGTCTCCTGAGCACTTGCCAGCATTCACATGCTATGTCTTTATCCTCTGTTTATCCTGCCTCCCTGAACAGATTATAAACCCCACGAGTGCAGAGACTTTGTTCTCTTCTCTGCTGTATTTGCAGAGCTGGTACACAGTAGGAGCTCAATATATACTTTTTTTTTTTTTTTTTGAGACGGAGTCTCGCTCTGTCGCCCAGGCTGGAGTGCAGTGGCCGGATCTCAGCTCACTGCAAGCTCCGCCTCCCGGGTTCACGCCATTCTCCTGCCTCAGCCTCCCGAGTAGCTGGGACAACAGGCGCCCGCCACCTCACCCGGCTAGTTTTTTGTATTTTTTTAGTAGAGACGGGGTTTCACCGTGTTAGCCAGGATGGTCTCGATCTCCTGACCTTGTGATCCGCCCGTCTCGGCCTCCCAAAGTGCTGGGATTACAGGCTTGAGCCACCGCGCCCGGCCAGGAGCTCGATATATACTTGCTGAAGGAAACCATGGATCTTGAGAAACGCTACCAAGAGAGGAAACGAGGAAGGTGCTGAGGGATGAAAGCGAGGCAGTGGTGCTGCTGCCCGCAGGGCCTTTGTGGTCCTGGAGAGTGGAGCTGCGGGGCTGGGAAGGCTGGCGGGTGGGGCTTACAGGCAGCTGGAGGAGCTCGTGGGAGCAGAGAGGTCATGGCTGGAGGTGTGGCTGGAACCTTCTGGTCAGTGAGGGTGGAGTGGTGGTCAGACAGCTGGCTATCTTGGCCATGTGGGACTTTGAGATCAAGAGGACAGTTGGGGACCAAGCTCTGTGGGATGCATTGAGGTCAGGGCAGGGGACCCAGCCCCCACACCTGGATCCCCTGCCCCACTCAGAGACAGTCTGAAGCAAGGGACCCCATGAGGTTGAGCATCAAGGAGCTGTTGTGAAGAAGTTGGTGAAGACAATGCTGGAAGGATGTTGCTTCCATGCCAGCGCATGTAGGCATATAGCACGGCATTTGTACATGAGTGTGGGCCATGCAGATACAGATGTACACACATGCATGAACACACCTCACACACGTGCCCGTGATGGCAGGTCACACAGACACATGAGCACAGCACTTGCACATAGTGAGCTCATACAGAGACACGTGCATGAGCAGAGCATCCACCCATGACCACGGGGCACACACACGTATGTGCACGCCCCCCTCTGCTCGCAGCCTTGGGGCTCACCGATGCTCTGTGGACGGCTCTGGCCTTGTCTGGACTCCTGTGTTCAGCAGCTGCTTAGGAAAGAGATGAGCTGCTGCCCCCTCTTGAACCCTGACCCACAGAGGTCAGAATTCCCTCTATCATCCCCTCAGCCTTCTCACCTCTGGACCCAGGACTCCAGGGGCCCCCTACTTCCATCTGGACACAACCAGGCCAAGCGGGTGTGTGTGGGCAGAGACTGGTGACCAGCATGGGTGAGGGCAGTTTAGGCAGGCCAGCTGGAGGCCACAACTGTCCATCAGCTCTTGATACTCCCTTCAGAGACGCGAGAGGACCGGACGAAGCGGCTTTTTCGCCACTACACAGTGGGCTCCTACGACAGCCTCACGTCACACAGGTACGCGCAGGGACACTGGCTGGCGGGAGCATGCGTATGGGATGTGGGGCAGGACCTGCAGTAGAGAGGGAGGCCAGGAGCTGGTCCAGGAGGCCAGGTGTGAAGAGGTCAGAGGAGGGTGAGGGAAGGGGCCCCGCCGACCTCTCTTCTGCTCCGTGGCCCGTCAGTCCCGGGGTGACTGCAAGGTGGGCTGTGGCCGGCCGGCCAGCCTCGAGGGAGGACTTACCTCACTCCTCCTGCTTTCCTCCTTCAGCGATTATGTCATTGATGACAAAGTGGCTGTCCTGCAGAAACGGGACCATGAGGGCTTTGGTTTTGTGCTCCGGGGAGCCAAAGGTAATGGGGAGTGGGTGCCGGGGCGTCAGGCAGGCAGGGGCTGCACACGGCTCGGGGGTGTCCTCAGCTTCTTGCTTCTGCCCCCCACTCTGCTCTACCCCGCACTCCCTCCCTGCCTTGCCCCTGCGCCTCCCTACTTTTGGCCCCGGCTTTCCTTGCTCCTCTGCTGCGGTCAGACCGTCATGGTTTGCAATGTCCCGGCCCAGGCGGCAATTCCTTCCCTTCGTCGTTTTCCACCGTCTTTGCTCTAGAGTCCAACTGAGTGGGGGCCTTTCTGGCGTGGGTGAAGGGGGTTTTGCAGAGAGTCATGTCTAGGATCCCTGGACCGGCTAGTCCCTGTGCTGTGGCTCCCCGTGGCCCTCCCCCTGCCCCGGGTCACTGCCCCCTGCCGTCATCTCTTTCCTGTGCTGAGCCACTCGGAGGTTGCTGTGTGGCAGCCGCCCCCACCTGAACCTCACTGGTGAAGCGCCTTCCTAATTGCCCCCTGCAGCAGAGACCCCCATCGAGGAGTTCACGCCCACGCCAGCCTTCCCGGCACTGCAGTACCTTGAGTCGGTGGACGTGGAGGGCGTGGCCTGGAGGGCCGGGCTTCGCACGGGAGACTTCCTCATCGAGGTGAGGCCGTCCTGGCTGGCACTGCCCAGTGGGATGCTGGCCCCTGAACCCTGTGGCGGACGTGCCCGGGGGCCTCCCCACCCAGCTGCCTGTCTGTCCCAGGTGAACGGGGTGAACGTGGTGAAGGTCGGACACAAGCAGGTGGTGGCTCTGATTCGCCAGGGTGGCAACCGCCTCGTCATGAAGGTTGTGTCTGTGACAAGGAAGCCAGAAGAAGACGGGGCTCGGCGCAGAGGTGAGGGGTCACGCTTTAGGCCTCTGTGCCCAAACTTTCCCCTGACCTTAGACCTTTGACTTTAGGCCCACATTCCTCTTCCCATCCCTGACCCCCAACTGCTGACATCAGATTCTTGAACCTTGATGAACCACCCACATGCGTGGGCTGGGGCCCCTTCCAATCCCTGGTGTTAGACTGCCAGTCCTGTCCCCTGGCCTGAGGCCTTTGACCCCTGACCCCTGACCTCAGGCTGCGCCTCCTCAGATCCCTGCCCCCTCCTTCCCGGCGTTCCCCCAGCCCCTGGCGTGGCAGAGCCCTCCTTCCCTACACCGCCAGCAGCTGCCTGGAGGCCGGGGTTGCCATAGCAACTGTGAGGTTGACGCTGCCGCGCTGCTTATTGTCGGAGGGAAGGGGGAGGCGGCACCTGAGGGAAGAGGAAAAGCGTCTTCTCCCCGCGACGACGCGGCACAGCCTGGGCCCAGGAGGCTTTGCCGGCCAGGCCCAGCCCAGGCCCGCGGCTTGGCTGACCACACCCTGGCCCCACAAGGGGCAGCGGCCACCCGGGCCTGGGGGGAACCCTGGAGCAGCAGGAGCCCCGCCCGCAAGGAGACCCTCCCAGCCCCCACCTCATGGCTCTGGTGCCCCCTCGCGTAGCCCTCGGAGCCTGCAGGGTGGGTGCCCAGGCCAGAGCCAGCTGGCACCGTGCCCCCAACCAGCACCCTTGATTGTCTCCTGAGGCCCTGGCTCTGGGGGTTCCCAGGGCCCCTGAGGCCCTGATCGCCCGGGCCCCCCCCCCACTCCCTGAGCTCCTTGCGCCATGAAGAAGTTTGCGTCCAGCCGTAGCCTGAACAAGATCCTGGCACAGTGCGACTCATCCTCGCGGGAGTACGAGGAGATCCAGGCAGTGGAGCGCAAGTGGCACCTGCACCTGGCCACGCCGCGCCGCCTGCTGCTGGACAGGAGGTCCAAGGCCTCCCTCTTCTTTGCAGCCCCACCGCCCCCCAAGAGGGCCCCCAGCACCACACTGACCCTGCGCTCCAAGTCCATGACAGCTGAGCTTGAGGAACTCGGTGAGTGGCGGGGGTGGCCGTGGAGGTGGATGCAGGTGGACAGTCCATGATGGGCAGACAGGGCCAGGAGGCACAGGTAGTATGGGAGGCCAGGGGATCAAGCCAGAGGGGAGGAAGGACAGGTGGATGTAGGAGCAGGTCAGAGGTGAATGGGTGGGTGCTGGCGTGATGGGGACATTTGGCGCTTGTAGGGTGAGGAGTGAGATGGCATGTGGAAGGGGTGAGATGTGAGGGGCTGGGGATGGACAGTGGGGTGTCCAGGACAGATGACGGGGAGCAGGGCCTGGCCCACCAGTACGTTTGCATGTGTGCATGTTTGTGTGTGTGTGCTGCCTCTGGTTTTCCACATCTCCACTTTGACTTTACTCCTGCATTTCATCCAAGTGAAGAAAGAGCAGTAGTCAGGTGACCGGGGTCCACTCTGGCTCTGCCAGGCACTGGCTGTGTCAGCTTTGTGTTTATTTTACCCTCTTGGTGCCCGTGCCCTCATTGGCCAGGTGGTCCTGCTGACCCCACAGGCCACAGGCACACTGTTGGACGATGGGGCAGGACCTCGAGTGTGGCAGGAGGGGAGCAGGAGTGTGCTGGGCTTCGATGGGGCACGTTTTGGGCACAAGCCGTGGTTAACCATCAGCATCTTCTTCATGGGCAGGTCTTACATATGTGTCCATTAACAACCTTGTCATGGGCATGTCCAAATATATTTGATCATATCCTGACATGTGACCGTCAGTAGCCTCTTCACGGGCATGTCCCAGCACGTGTGACCGTTGTCCTCATTGTGGGTATGTGCTATACGTGTGGCCATCAACAGCCTTGTCATGGGCATGTCCGAGTATATGTGACAGTTGACAGGCTCTTTCTTTCTTTTTTTTTTTTTTTTTTTTTGTTTGAGACAGAGTTTCACTCTTGTTGCCCAGGCTGGAGTGCAATGGCACATTCTCAGCTCACTGCAACTTCCACCTCTTGGGTTCAAGTGATTCTCCTGCCTCAGCCTCCCGAGTAGCTGGGATTACAGGTGCCTGCCACCACGCCTGGCTAATTTTTTTTTTTTTTTTTTTTTGTATTTTTGGTAGAAACAGGGTTTCACCATGTTGGCCAGGCTGGTCTCCAACTCCTGACCTCAGGTGATCCGCCCGCCTTGGCCTCCCAAAGTGCTGGGATTACAGGCGTGAGGCTCTTTTCTTCCTGTGGTCTAAGCCCAGTTCTGTCCCCCGACTTTACTCTGCCTCTGGTCATAGAAGGAACCCCAACTCTGGTCCTAAACCGAACCCTGGAGTCCGGGCCACAGGAAGGGACGTCATTCTGGTTCTAGGCTGAGCCCCATCCCTGGCTTCAGTGTTGGTTCCACCCCAGCCATAGAAGGATCCCGTTTGCTGGCCCCCAGAATAATCCCTGACCTCACTCATGAACTGAGCCCTGACCCTATCCTGGCCACAGGCTGAGCAGATGGTCTTAACTGCAATTAGTTCAGTGTGGAGAACAGCTACCAACATGCATTGGACTGACATGGTCAGAATTTTCACCATAGCTATTGCAAATAAAATAAAACCGAAAGAAAAAAACAAAAAACCTCATATAGATAATTCAAAATGAAAAGGAGAGAAACCAAAGCCAGGGGCTTCTGTAGCTCATTATCTAGTACCCAAGGGCAAGGAGTTGGGATCCTGAGGCCCTCACAAGGCTGGGAGACGTGGCTGGACCTGTGAGAAGCGGGAAGGTTAAAAGGCCAAGCCCAACAACTGGAATTAGCATCGAAAGAATTAGAAATCAGAGAAGAATATGAAAAACATTAAAATAAAGTAAATTGTCACAAAGATTAAAAGAACTAACTGAACTAATGAGAGAACAGGACAGAACAAATAAGCAAAAAAAGAATAAGCACATTTTAGAATAGAGTGATTTTTTTTTTTTTGAAACTGAGTCTCGTTCTGTTGCCCAGGTTGGAATGCAGTGGTGCGATCTCGGCTCACTGCAACCTCTGCCTCCTGGGTTCAAGTGATTCTCTTGCCTCAGTCTCCCGAGTAGCTGGGATTAGAAGCGGCCACCACCACACCCAGCTAATTTTTTGTATTTTTAGTAGAGATGGGGTTTCACCATATTGACCAGGCTGGTCTTGAACTCCTGACCTTGTGATTCACCCACCTCAGCCTCCCAAAGTGCTGGGATTACAGGCGTGAGCCACTGTGCCTGGCCAGAAGGATCCTTAAAGAACTGTTACTGAAACAAAAAGTATAGTCACAGATAAAAAAGAAAGCCATGGCTGGGATAAACAGTACATTAGACCCAGGTGAAGAAAGAAACAGCAGGTTAGAAGATAAATCTGAGGTTACCCAGAATATAGCACAGAAATATAAGGAGATACAAAATATCAAAGAGCAGTTAGGAGACACTTATCACATAGCTAATTCAGTGGGACTATTGGGAAAATCCCAGCATCTACCTAATGCAAGGCCTGAAGGCAATATTTGGAGATGAGATGGCTTAAGAATTTCCCAAAGTTGAACAAAGACATGAGTCTTCAGTTTAAAGAAATATAAGTCTCAGCAAGGAAATAAAAACAGATCTGTATCCACGTCTTTCATAGTAAAACTGTAGTACGCAGTGAACAAGCAGAAATCTTTAAAACAATGAGAGAGGCTGGGTGCGGTGGCTCATGCCTGTACTCCCAGCACTTTAGGAGGCGAAGACAAGTGGATCACTTGAGTCCAGGAGTTTGAGACCAGCCTGGGCAACATGGCGAAACCCCATCTCTACAAAAAATACAAAAATTATCCTGGCATGGTGGTGTGTTCCTGTGGTCCCAGCTACTCAGGAGGCTGAGGTGGGAGGATTGCTTAAGTCTGGGAGGTAGACGTTGTAGTGAGCCAAGATCGTGCCAGTGCACTCCAGCCTGGGTGACAGAGCGAGACCCTGTCTCAAAACAAAAAATGATGAGAGAGAGAGAGAGAGACTGGCCGCTGGATGTCGTAGACGGGAGCAGTGGTTCAGCTGACAACAGACTTCTCATCAGCAATAGCAGATGACAGTAGATGATGGAAGAAGAGCTTCAAAGTGTGGAGGCAAAATTCTTTTCCACCTAGAATTCTATACCCTGCTAATCCTCCTCATTCAGGAGTGAGGCAGAGAGGCTGGCAGACTTCTGGCCCTCGGGTCATAAGGGTCCAAGGTCAGTCACGGGAGCTGACCTGTCAGTTGAAGATCCAAACTGATCAATAAGCACTGGTAGGCAGCTGGGTCCCAGGATTCTCCTGCCAGAGGCTGTCACGTAGCCACGATCAACTGCATGTCCAGAAGGAACTCTTCCGTTCGGCACCACGAGGCTTTTGGGCAGCCTGAGATCCGTAATCCTGGGACCCAGGGACTCTGCCCTGTGAAAATGAGAGAACTGCGCTTTGCCCTCTCCTCTGGGCTGGGTGTTCCCTCTTCTGCAACAAGCCTCAGGACAGGTTGCTGGAGTCACTCGACAGACCCTGGTCTTCCAGAGGAGTTGCTCACAGCTTCAGGCCACCATAATTTTCCAGGCTTTTTCCCGAGCAGTCTGGGGGAGGATGAAGGGACAGCTTAGCACGGAGCCTCTACCCACACTTCTGGAGCTCAGGAAGCCACCTGTCCCCAGGAGAGAGCTGTCCTGGGAAGCCAGCAGAGCTTCTGGAAGTCCCCTCTGGAAACGCCTGATTTGAGGAAGCCGTGCCAGCCTCAGGGTTTCCCCAGGTACCAAAGGGACCATCCCACAACCCAGTGGTTTTGCTTTCAGAAGATAGAAATGAGGCCTGTTGGTCATTGCTGGCAAGAACACATCAGAACTGCCTCACACTGTCAAGCGCTATTAGAGCCCTTTAGGATTCATAGTCTATCGAGAAGGTGCCTGAACACCTAAAAAGAAAAAGTGAGGTGTCAGAGAAAGCAGGTGCAAGGCGGAGGCTCCTGTCCAGGTGGCTGTTTGCTGCTCAGAGGATGTGGGAGAGGCATGGCCCTGTTGGGGGAAGGGGAGGGAGGGGGTGTTCTCTGGGGGAATGGGGTGAGCAAAGGCTGGTGCCTGGAAAGTGAAGGGTTGCAGAGATGGGAGTGAGAGGAAGGGGCTGGGTGGGGACCCTCCTGAGACAGGTGGTGAGAGAGAGAAGAGGGCAGAGCACCCCTCCTCCCCCTCAGCACTGGGGACTCCTCACAGCCACCACATGCATGTCCACACAGCTTGCACCAGGAATGTGCTGGGGCCACAGGTCAGTGGAGACCCAGGCCAGGGAAGGCCCTGGCAGGTCCAAGCCCTTCCTGTGTATTCATGTTCCCAGGAGAAATCTGGACTCCCTGTAATTTCTGGGCCCCTTTTTTTCTTTTGTGATGAGAACATCAGGGTAGGTGCCACACCCAGCATCTGTGTGAGTGGCCTTGTCCTGGAAAAGGTTTCTTTGCCAAACACATTTGCCCTGCCTTTTGTTTTAAGACCGACTTTGAACAGAACACACAGGTGACCACCTTGGTTTTCCGCGACACATGAACTTGTTTTCTATGGGGTTTTGCCTTTTTTCTGAACAAACCTTTGACTGAGCCAAGCATGATGGAGTTGTGCATATCTCCCTGTGTTTGCGTGTCTGTGCGTGGGTGAGTGGACATACGCTGTGTGCACTTGCATGGGTGTGGCACACATGTCTCTGCGTGGATGAGTGGACACATGCTGTGTGCACCTGCATGCCTGTGCGTGGGTGAGCGGATATGCCCTGCGTGCACCTGCATGTGTGTGGCACACGTCTGTGCGTGGGTGAGCAGACACGCGCTATGTGCACCTGCATGTGTGTGGCACACGTCTGTGCGTGGGTGAGCGGGCACATGCTATGTGCACCTGCATGCATGTGGCACACGTCTGTGCATGGGTGAGTGGACATATGATATGCTGTGTGCACCTGCATGCGTGTGGCACACACGTCTGTGCGTGGGTGTGCGGACATGCGCTGTGTGCACCTGCATGCGTGTAGCACACGTCTGTGCGTGGGTGTGTGGACATGTGCTGTGTGCACCTGCACGCGTGTGGCACACGTCTGTGCGTGGGTGAGCAGATACGCCCTGTGTGCACCTGCACGCGTGTGGCACACGTCTGTGCACGGGTGAGTGGATACGCCCTGTGTGCATCTGCATGCGTGTGGCACACGTCTGTGCGTGGGTGTGCGGACATGCGCTGTGTGCACCTGCGTGCGTGTGGCACACACGTCTGTGCGTGGGTGAGCAGATACGCCCTGTGTGCACCTGCACACGTGTGGCACACGTCTGTGCATGGGTGAGCGGACACGTGCTGTGTGCATCTGCATGCGTGTGGCACACGTCTTTGCGTGGGTGTGTGGACATGTGCTGTGTGCACCTGCACGTGTGTGGCACACGTCTGTGCACGGGTGAGCAGATACGCCCTGTGTGCACCTGCATGCATGTGGCACACGTCTGCGTGGGTGTGCGGACATGTGCTGTGTGCACCTGCATGCGTGTGGCACACGTCTGTGCATGGGTGAGTGGACACGTGCTATGCACCTGCATGCGTGTGGCACACGTCTGTGCGTGGGTGTGCAGACGCGCTGTGTGCACCTGCATGCGTGTGGCACACGTCTGCATGGGTGAGTGGACATGCGCTGTGTGCACCTGCATGTGTGTGGCACACATGTCTGTGCATGGGTGAGTGGACATGTGCTGTGTGCACCTGCATGCATGTGCGTGGGTGAGCAGACACGTGCTGTGTACATCTGCATGCATGTGACACACATCTGTGCGTGAGTGTGTGGACATGTGTACACCTGCATGCGTGTGGCACACGTCTGTGCATGGGTGTGCGGACATGTGCTGTGTGCACCTGCATGCGTGTGGTACACATGTCTGTGCATGGGTGAGTGGATACACCCTGTGTGCACCTGCATGCATGTGGCACACGTCTGTGCGTGGGTGTGCGGACATGTGCTGTGTAAACCTGCATGTTTGTGGTACACGTCTGTGCGTGGGTGAGCGGATACACCCTGTGTGCACCTGCATGCATGTGGCACACGTCTGTGCGTGGGTGTGCGAACATGTGTTGTGTACACCTGCATGCGTGTGGTACACATCTGTGCGTGAGTGGATATGCCCTGTGTGCACCTGCATGCGTGTGGAACACATCTGTGTGTGGGTGAGTGGACATGTGCTGTGTGCACCTGCATGCGTGTGGCACACGTCTGTGCGTGGGTGAGCGGATACGCCCTGTGTGCACCTGCATGCGTGTGGTACACATGTCTGTGCGTGGGTGAGCAGATACGCCCTGTGTGTACCTGCATGTGTGTGGTACACATCTGTGCGTGAGTGAGCGGATACACCCTGTGTGCACCTGCATGCGTGTGGCACACGTCTGTGTGTGGGTGAGCAGACACGCGTTGTGTACACCTGCATGCATGTGGTACATGTTTGTGCGTGGGTGTATGGACATGTGCTGTGTGTACCTGCACACGTGTGGCACACATCTGTGCGTGGGTGAGCAGACATAACCTGTGTGCACTTGCATGCGTGCTGGCCACACCCATTGTGCCGTGGTGAGCCAGACATACACCTGTGGTGCGCAGCCCATTGCATGTGTGTGGCACACGTCTGTGTGTGGGTGAGCAGACACGCGCTGTGTACACCTGCATGCATGTGGTACATGTTTGTGCGTGGGTGTATGGACATGTGCTGTGTGCACCTGCACACGTGTAGCACACATCTGTGCGTGGGTGAGCAGACATAACCTGTGTGCACTTGCATGCGTGTGGCACACATCTGTGTGTGGGTGAGCAGACACGCGCTGTGTGCACCTGCATGCATGTGGCACACACACAAGCCCCTGCTTGTGGTTGTTTCCTCCTTGGATTTCAAAGCATGTACCAACTGATTCTGCATTTGGGCAGATTTGCTCTTCATGGTCTGATAAAGAGGTGTAGGCTGGGGGCAGATCTGGGAGGTCATGGTTGTTGGGGGAGGTGGCGGTGAGAGGGATGGGGTGGGGAAATGAGCGTGGATAATGGGGCCTGGGTGCCAAGCCTGCCTCTTACTCCCTTTACTCTGTTTCTTGATTCCAAGCCTCCATTCGGAGAAGAAAAGGGGGTGAGTCATCTGCCTGTGTCCCCAGGGTCTTGGCTTTGCCTGACCCCTGTCTGGGGGAGTGCTGGTGTGTGAGGAGGTTCCAGCGCAAGTCAGGGTGGCCCAGAAGCCTGGGCTGCAGCCTCCTGTTGGCCTTCTCCCTGGGGATTTGGTAGGGGCATGAGAGAAGGATCTGCAAGGATGGATGGGGAGTTCCCAGGGGTGTGACCCTCTGGGACTGTGATGGCCTTGGGGGCTCAGGTGAGCCTGGGGCCTGTGAGCTGTGCAGATGGCCTGATGGAGGCAGCCCGTGGGGAGGAGCTGGGAGAGCTCCATGGAGGCCACTGCATGCGCCATGGCCCAGAGAGCAGGAAGGAAAGGGCCCCGAGGGTCCCAGAGGGGGAGCTCTAGGGAGCAGGGAGACTGGGCCGTGTTGGTGTGTGCGGCCCCAGTCTACATTGCTTCTTTCTGCTGGTCCTCTCGGGGCCTGTGCCTGGGTTGTGGGACGTAATCCCGTGCTGGTTGGTTGTAGGGCCAACCCCAGAGCTGATGGCCCCTTCAGAGCAGGGGTCTGAGTTCCACAGCACTGGGGAAGGAGCTTGGAACTCCCCTGGCCAACAGCCCCCCAGGCTGTTGACTGCCCTCCCGAACCCCCGTTCAGGCCTCCCTCTACCCTTTGGGGCTGCTCCCTGTATGTCCTGTATGTTCAGCCTGGCTGCAGGGAAGAGAGCATTCAGGTGGGAACAGTCACCTGGGCCTGGGTACTGAGGTCCCCTGTCCGGTGAGGTCCTGGGACCCAGCTCCTGGCAGCCTCGTCTGCCTCTCGGGTGGAGTCAGGGCCAGACAGAGGCTTGAGGTGGCTTTCTCCACCCAGGCCTGTATATTTGCTCCATATATTTGTACCTGATGCCGTCCCTCCCTCTCTCTGGACCCACTGGGCTTTCCCTGGGTGAGGACACATCTACCAGGCCCTTGGCCCAGCCCTCTTGAGGCCCCCTTGCTGCCTCCTGCCCCAGCCCGGGTGAAGGGCTTCCCCAGTGTCTTCTCAGGTATTAAAAACAGGTAACAAGGTCTCCTCCAGTGACCTTTTCTGCACGCCTTTGGGGCAGACACACAAGCTATTTCTGGAATCTTCTGGCTCTGCCCTCCAGCTCGTTAGTGGGACTCCCAGGGTGCCGTGTTGCAGCCCAGGTGCTGCTCCAGTCGTGGAAGAAGTGATGGCTGATTGATCATCCTGCAGGCTGGGGCCCTATTGATCAAACAGCTGCAGACCCAGCTGTGCCCTGCCATGCACCCAGAGGGCCCTGGGAGTGAGCGGGTCCACTTGGTTCCTGATGGGCTTCATTTCCCTTAATTATTTAAAATAATTTATTTAAGAATATATTCTCTAGTATTGGGGGGAGAGTTATGTCAACCTCATCAGTTTGCAATTTGCAGAATTCTTGATTAATTTTTTCCCTTTTGAAAACACTTCTCACCTGGCTTCAGCACCATCACTCGATGACCAGAAGCAGCTGCCTCACTAAACGTTATGTGCATCCCGCTGCAGGTCTCTGGGATGGGTCTTTTGGACCTAGAGAGACAGCCTCTCCTAGCCCGTGGCTCAGGTGGCAACGTGTCACCCGTGATGCTGAGCCGTGTGTGCCTCACGGAGTTTTCTCTCCATTCATGTCTTTACTTCTGCAGTTTCTGGGGAGTATGGTGCTTAAGTCTCATCTCTTACTTCCTAGTCAGTGATCTGGGGCAGTTTCTCTCTCTGAGCTTCAGTTTGCTCCTGGGTTGGATAAAGGTGATGATAAAATCCTCGTGTAGCTGTGGGATGAGAGGAGTGGTTTGCATGAAGTCCCGCATACTCCAGAAATCACCAAGAACTTAACAAATGGTGGTGACGGTGACTTCAGCTCCCAAAAATAAATCATTCACTTCATGACAAAAGCAAATGAGAAGTCCCCTCAAACCAGCAACCCCTGGGCTGTACCTGGGCCTCCGTCACCTGGTGGCACCGGGAGCTGTGCACAGGCCCAGATATCTGCAGTTGGAGCCTGTTTTGCCCATAAACTCTTGCATTGTTCAGGGCACAGGCTGGGCACTGATGGAACACAGAGAACAGTATTTGCTCTCTTCTGCAGACCCACAAGCTGTCTGGGGAGATGAGGCACCCAGACATGAATTGTGCGGAATTGTGCCCAGTGCCAGCACAGTTGTAAGCCTTTCTTCTGTGCTAATTCTCTCTAGAGACACATGAAGCTAGCGCTGTTTTTATACCTGTTTTATCAGACGAAGACACAGAGGTCACAAAGAGCTTAACTCAGGACATAGTCAGTGTACAGGGTGGGTCTGGTCTGGGTTGGGTACAGGACAGTCTTGGGGAGTTATTTCCTTTTTCCAGCAATGCTAAGCAGATTGCAGAGATAGAACCAGCAGGTACTGTGAATAGCTGCAGATTGGAGTTGGAAGGAGTAGCAGGTGTCCAGGCTGACCATTGAAATTCTCCAACAAGGGGCCAAGACAAGAGTGGCCAGACAGGGTCCCTCTAGGGTTGGCACAGCCCCAAAGAGTGGAGAAGGGCCTGGGGTTGGGTGGAGCCTGAGTGATGGGTGGGGTGCAGTGGGGCTGCTGAATGACGGCTGGTGCAGCAGCCAGGTGGACATGGGTGCTGCCCCAGCCCTTGCTGCATACCCCATGCACTGGTTCTCAGTGGACCCACAGGGGGCGAGAGCTACTGATGTCCTGGGGGAGCCATCCAACCAGAGCTCTGATGGTCCTTAGATATATGTATTAGTTTAACACAGTTTCCAAGTCACTGTGATCATTGGTGGAAACCTGCTTGAACATCAGGGTCTGTCCTAGGGCTGTGACCCACTGTGAACAGCTTCCCTTCCAGTGCGGTGCAGAGAGCCAAGAGTGGCCTGTACGTGCTGAGAACGGTGACAGGACGAAGGGAAATGGAGGGAAATCCAGGGAGACTGTGGTCTCTGAGTTGTTTGTCTGTCACCTGCCCTGCTCTTCTCCCTCATGGGCAGAGTGGCCTTTTCTTAAGTGGGGTCCACGGGGTCACCTGGAGTCTCCTTGAGGATAGAGAGGCTGCCTGGGGTGGGGTCTCAGTTCTGGGGTGAGGGCCTTGTCTTGGGGGCCTGGGGTGGGAGCTTAAGGAGGGAGGGGAGTAGTGGCCTCTGTCACCATCATGGGTGGCCAGGCTGGGGAGGATGTGGCAGTGGGGCAGGAGGTGGCCCAGGACCTGAGATGGAGCCTCCTTGCTGTGCAGAGAAGCTGGACGAGATGCTGGCAGCCGCCGCAGAGCCAACGCTGAGGCCAGACATCGCAGACGCAGACTCCAGAGCTGCCACCGTCAAACAGAGGCCCACCAGTCGGAGGATCACACCTGCCGAGATCAGTGTAAGGGCCACGGGCGGCTGGGAGCACTGGGATGGGCAGGCATGGGGGTCAGTCTGTCTTGGGCCACCCCCTCCAGAGGGGTGTGTGCACCCTATAGCCTCTCTCAGAGACTCTTGGGGCTGTCTCTGCCCCCTAAGTGACCACAGCTCAGCACCTGCTGGTTTCGCTTTTGTGGCTTTTGGTGCTTCTGCCTTCAGGCAGTCCCTGTCTCACGCCTGAGACCACCAAGGTACCCCAGCTCTGCTGAGAACATGACGAAGCACGTCTCTGTTCCCTGCCCACTTGCCGACCTGGCGCCTTCTGGGCTCCTCCCCCACCTCACCCAGGGTCAGCCAGGGTCTGCACCCACCCTGCCCAACACCGTCTACACTGTACCACCATCTGCACTGCCCACACAGCCCAGGCTCCAATGGGCTACATCCCCTGCTCCCTGAGGGCAGAGCCTAGACATGATTCCTGGGTCCAGGCACCCACAGGCACTGGTGCCATTGGAGTGACAGCAGTGGGGTATCTCACTTCCGGCTTAGGAGGAGGACTGGGGCCCCCCAGTGCCCTGGAACCTCCATATTCCCCTCCCTGACCCCCACAGTCATTGTTTGAACGCCAGGGCCTCCCAGGCCCAGAGAAGCTGCCGGGCTCCTTGCGGAAGGGGATTCCACGGACCAAGTCTGTAGGTATGGCTGGGCTGTGGGGCTGCATGGGGTTGGGAGGAACGGGGCTGGAGCTGGCAGGGTGGATTTGGGTTGGAAGGACCCTGTTTCTCCCTGCTGGTAACTGGGGTTTTCAGTTTCCCTCTGAGTCCTGCCGCTTCCTGGCCCCAGCTGAAGGATCTCATATGTTGATGGACCTGTGAGGATTAGGCCTTCCCCAACCCAGAGATTCCCCCCGGCAGCTGACACTCCCTGTCCAGTGGGCATCCCCCGATCGCTTCATCCCTCCCATGGGCAGCCTCACCCCTGTCCCCAGCTGCCACTCCCTGTCCACTGGGCACCCCCACCTCCCCATTGCCTCTCATCCTTCCCATGGGCAGCCTCACCCCTCCCCAGCTCAGCAGCCTCCATCGCCGTTGCTTCTCTGCAGCCCAAGTGCATGTGAAGTTTCTGACCCTAAAACTCCCCTCCCCTGAACTTGCCTCTCCCTTACTCCTCCATGTATCGCTCTCTCCCCCCTTCACAGCCAGTTTCCCCAAAAAGTCACCTCCACTTGCCATCTATCTCCCATCCCCAACCTGCTCCTCAGCCTGCAGCAGACTTGCTCTCTCCATACCCAAATTGAAACTGCTCCCACCAGGGTCACCGGTGGCCTGCAGGGCCTTCCTCCCGTGGACATGGCCAGCACTCCTGCTGACCTCAGCTGGCATGCGGTTTCTCTGCTCCTCCTTCCATGAAACGCTCCTCCCCAGAGTCTGAGGACAACACTTCCTGGTTTTCCCCTCCTTTCTCAGGTGGCACCTGTTTTGACCCTGCCGTTCCAGCCTCCCAAATATGGGACCTTTTCAAGGCTGTGTCTTCAGCCTCCTTCCCCTCTGTGCCTCACCACTCCCCGGCCACCATCACACCCCACACTCACTGTCTCCTGACCCAGATGACAAGCCCTGGCCACTGTGCATCCCTCTAGGCGTCCATTCTCCTGTCCCCTGCCCACCTGTGCATCTGTCCACCCACACACCTGCCCACTTGACCGTCTGTTGTCCATACAAACCCCAGCACACCCCCGCATCTGTTACACATAGGAGTAAACCTCTCAGCACTTACTACGGGCTGGACACTGAGTGTTTTAATACTTAGAATAACCATATTGAGGTTGAGGCCACTAGTACCTCCATTTTACAGATGAGAAAACTGAAGCGAGGAGGGTAAATGACCTGCCAAGATCACACAGCCGCCCAAACTCTTGATTCCTCACCTGCCCCAGCACCCTGCCAATTTGTGTTCACACAAGGCCGATCCTGGGCCAAGTCTGGGGCTTAGTTGGGGAATGTGACGTGTGCAGAGAGCTCAGCGGGCACATGGTGGGTATCAGGGCTCACGGACCAATGGAGCCCACTGGGGAGCTCCAGGCACACCTGGGTGTCACAGAAGGCTGCGTGTGTTGGGGTGGGGGTACTTTTGAGCTAAGATGTGCAAGATAAATGGGAGTTTCTGGGGGATACTGGGGCGAACTGACAGAGCAGTGTGGAAAAGGCATATGGGTGTGTGGACTGGTCCCTCAGAGACTGCCGAGAGTTATTTCTGTAGGTGGGATTGTGGGGAAGAAGGCTGGTGAGGCTGCAGCTACCTTGGAGCTGAGAAGCAGTCTCCTCTGCGCTCCCCGGCCTGAGCCCTGAGTGTCTCCCATGGTTTCTCTCTTACCTTCTGCCTCACCTGACCTGTCGGGGTGGGTGGCCTCACAGCCCTGCCCCGCACAGCTCTCATCGCCTTGCAGCTGGGCCATGGCTTTGTTCTCATGACTGCCTGACCTGGCTCTGCCCTCTAGTCCATCCCTCTGGCCAAACGAGACTTTTCACAGAGCTGCTATCACTCCGTATCTGTCCAGCTTGATCCTCTGTGTGCTCCTCATTGCCTCGGGGCCCCGGAGATCGGCCCCAGTGCTCTCTTGCTTCATCTGGAAACAGTTGTCTCTGCCTCCCTTGACCTGGGTCTTCTGACTCTTGCTTCCTGGGCCTGACCCTGCAGGTCTAGGTCCATGCACCTGCCCTGCAGGCCTTAAGCCACTCTCCTAGGACTGCCAGTTCTGCCCTGGTCCCTCAGGCACCCTCTTGCGCTCGGTTGATGAATGGGTTGACAGGCGCTCCTTTTTGGCTCCCCTTGGCCCGCTGGGCCTCAGCTGCCAACATGCACGTTGGTTGGGTTGTCAGACTCCCCAGGCCCCTGCCCCATGCCCTGGCTCTGTTGCCCTGGGCACACAATGCAACCCTTGAAACATCAGGATTTTGATCCATAAACACGGAGACCACCGATTCCACCTCCAAGGACCACTCTGAGGCTCGCCCGGTAGGCAGCACTCACAGGCTAGGACTGCGTGGCATGCTGGGAGTGCTCAGCAGCCGCCAGTGTTAGTAGACGTAGATGCCGCCTCTCGAGGTTGGCACACAGTAGGTGCTCTCTGGCACACAGTAGAAATGCTCTCTGCTATTATCTAGGCAGACAAAGAGGGTCTGCCTTTGTCCCCAGGGGGTCCCACCCCTGCTCCAGATGGTATCAGAACAGATTCCCTACTCCATGCTGAGGCAAGTGACTTTTCTTTACCCTAAGTCAGAACTTGGCATGCTATTAGCATTAAATTTCCCCTTATTTCATCTTTGCACGTCACTCCCGCCTTCTACATCCTCAAGGTGTGCTCGTTCTGCGTCGCTCCATCTAACACACAGGCTTGTGGGTGTTCACTGCGTGTTCATACACAGTGCAGGGAATGCAGCAGGAGACCCAGGACGAACTGGGCACAATTTCTGTGTCCAGCGGTTGGGGGTGAGGGGAAGGCAGACCTACAGACAACGATGATGACGACCTGGGCCCCTTCCCGGGATACTGCTGCGGTTCAGCCCCGTACTGTAAAGGTGAAGTCGCCCCACAGTAGGTGCAGGCTGTCTTCCTGGCATGAGGAAACTGAAGTTCCTAGAGGTTAAGGAATGTCAGTACCTAGCAGATCTAAAATTTAAGCCTAGTTCTGTACACAGAAGCCCACCCTTGGTACCTTGGCTACAAAGAGATACTATGCGCAGTAAGAAGCAGTGTAGTGTTGCAGTATTAGCACTGCGGTGGCTGGACGAGGATGCAGTCAGGAACGGGCAGCCTGTATTGCAGCAAGTTCATAAAAATGTTGACCAATCTCAGAGTGAGGCTGGGAACAGGAGCACCACGAGACCTGGGTGCGTGGGTGTGGGGCCATCCGCCCCCTGCAGCCTCACTGAACACACCTGTAGCACATGTGTCCACATCATGATGTCCACAGGGGTGCTCAGAAGGTTGTGTCAGGTTCTGGCTGGACAGCAGGATCATGAGGGCCCTGAGCACTCCAGCCCTTGCACAGGATCCTAACAATGACGTCTGAGCAAGGCATGCAGAGGGGGGTTCATTTTAAGCCTGTTTTGACCATAGAAGAACTGAAGCTCAAAGGGGCTCAGGGATTGGCCTGGGGTCACGCTGCCAGTAGGGGTTAAAATGAAACATGCTGGGTGCTCAGTCTGCAGTTCCCATTTTAATTCATCCATCCATTCTTCCCTTCACCCAGTCACCCAACCTTACTGAATTCCAGCCACTGTGGTTGCATCACCCACCCATGTGGGTCTCTGGGAGGAGCCTCTGCAGGCTTTTTCCACAGGGCACCTCCTTACCTGGGTATTAGCTCTTTCCCTGCCTGAGGCCTGGCTCCAGTGGCCACAGCCCTGCTGCCCCTCATCCTGCCAGTGTGTCACTCCTGCTCATTTCCCACCATCTTCCTCTCACCTCTGGTTGTCTCCAGGGCTGCTACTTCTGCCTCGGCCTTGTTCATTCAGGGGTGAGGAGCCCTGTACTGGCCCCTCCAAGCCCCTCAGCAGTTCTGTCTGCATGTCTTGCGGGGCTGTCCCTGCCTTCCTGGGATATCTTCCTAGGGCCTGCTTGATCAAGTCCCTGGGTTTGGGCAGGTCTTGGCCCCAACCCAGGTCATCAGAGTTTGTGTCCTTTCTCCGGGGCCTTCCTCCATCTTGTAACTGAACGCACACCTCTCTCCTGCCCTCTTCACAAGAGCCCTCCCCGTGCAGCCCTGGGCCTGGGGCACAGAGCTTGGACGTCCAGGGACCAGCGCAGACGGGTCTTGCTCGGAGCCCATGCTGTGGGCTCCCTGTTTCCCCTGCTCTCCATTCCCCGCCCACCACGGGCCCCAACCCCATCTTCCCGAGCATTCTAGCGCCTCGCGCCGCGCTGGGTTCTGCCGTGGGCGTCCGTTGTGTCCGGGACGGTGGCTGCCCCGGGGTGGAGTCGGGGCAAGGCTGGCCTCTGTGGGAGGGGGTGCCGGGGTCCCCAGGAGCCTCTGGGAAGGCAGCACCCGCCCCCGCCCCCGCCCCCGCGCCCTGGCTGGTCTCACCGGCCCTTCCGTCCGCAGGGGAGGACGAGAAGCTGGCGTCCCTGCTGGAAGGGCGCTTCCCGCGGAGCACCTCGATGCAAGACCCGGTGCGCGAGGGTCGCGGCATCCCGCCCCCGCCGCAGACCGCGCCGCCTCCCCCGCCCGCGCCCTACTACTTCGACTCCGGGCCGCCCCCGGCCTTCTCGCCGCCGCCCCCGCCGGGCAGAGCCTATGACACGGTGCGCTCCAGCTTCAAGCCCGGCCTGGAGGCGCGCCTGGGCGCGGGGGCCGCCGGCCTGTACGAGCCGGGTGCGGCCCTGGGCCCGCTGCCCTATCCCGAGCGGCAGAAGCGCGCGCGCTCCATGATCATCCTGCAGGACTCGGCGCCCGAGGTGGGCGACGCCCCTCGGCCCCCGCCCGCGGCCACCCCGCCCGAGAGACCCAAGCGCCGGCCGCGGCCGCCCGGCCCCGACAGCCCCTACGCCAACCTGGGCGCCTTCAGCGCCAGCCTCTTCGCGCCGTCCAAGCCGCAGCGCCGCAAGAGCCCCCTGGTGAAGCAGCTGCAGGTGGAGGACGCGCAGGAGCGCGCGGCCCTGGCCGTGGGCAGCCCCGGTCCCGTCGGCGGCAGCTTCGCCCGCGAGCCCTCCCCGACCCACCGCGGTCCCCGCCCGGGCGGCCTCGACTACGGCGCGGGCGATGGCCCAGGGCTCGCGTTCGGCGGCCCGGGCCCGGCCAAGGACCGGCGGCTGGAGGAGCGGCGCCGCTCCACTGTGTTCCTGTCCGTGGGCGCCATCGAGGGCAGCGCCCCCAGCGCGGACCTGCCATCCCTACAGCCCTCCCGCTCCATCGACGAGCGCCTCCTGGGGACCGGCCCCACCGCCGGCCGCGACCTGCTGTTGCCCTCCCCGGTGTCTGCTCTGAAGCCATTGGTCAGCGGCCCGAGCCTCGGGCCCTCGGGCTCCACCTTCATCCACCCGCTCACCGGCAAACCCCTGGACCCCAGCTCACCCCTGGCCCTTGCCCTGGCTGCCCGAGAGCGGGCTCTGGCCTCCCAGGCGCCCTCCCGGTCCCCGACACCCGTGCACAGCCCCGACGCCGACCGCCCCGGACCCCTGTTTGTGGATGTACAGGCCCGGGACCCAGAGCGAGGGTCCCTGGCCTCCCCAGCCTTCTCCCCACGGAGCCCGGCCTGGATTCCTGTGCCTGCTCGCAGGGAGGCAGAGAAGGCGCCCCGGGAGGAGCGGAAGTCACCCGAGGACAAGAAGTCCATGATCCTCAGCGTCCTGGACACATCCCTGCAGCGGCCAGCTGGCCTCATTGTTGTGCACGCCACCAGCAACGGGCAGGAGCCCAGCAGGCTGGCGGGGGCCGAAGAGGAGCGCCCGGGCACCCCGGAGTTGGCCCCGGCCCCCATGCAGTCAGCAGCTGTGGCAGAGCCCCTGCCCAGCCCCCGGGCCCAGCCCCCTGGCGGCACCCCAGCAGACCCCGGGCCAGGCCAGGGCAGCTCAGAGGAAGAGCCAGAGCTGGTGTTCGCTGTGAACCTGCCACCCGCCCAGCTGTCGTCCAGCGATGAGGAGACCCGGGAGGAGCTGGCTCGAATTGGGTTGGTGCCACCCCCTGAAGAGTTTGCCAACGGGGTCCTGCTGGCCACCCCACTCGCTGGCCCGGGCCCCTCACCCACCACGGTGCCCAGCCCGGCCTCAGGGAAGCCCAGCAGTGAGCCACCCCCTGCCCCTGAGTCTGCAGCTGACTCTGGGGTCGAGGAGGCTGACACACGCAGCTCTAGTGACCCCCACCTGGAGACCACAAGCACCATCTCCACGGTGTCCAGCATGTCCACCTTGAGCTCGGAGAGCGGGGAACTCACCGACACCCACACCTCCTTCGCTGACGGACACACTTTTCTACTCGAGAAGCCACCAGTGCCTCCCAAGCCTAAGCTCAAGTCCCCGCTGGGGAAGGGGCCGGTGACCTTCAGGGACCCGCTGCTGAAGCAGTCCTCGGACAGCGAGCTCATGGCCCAGCAGCACCATGCCGCCTCTGCCGGGCTGGCCTCTGCCGCCGGGCCTGCCCGTCCTCGCTACCTCTTCCAGAGAAGGTCCAAGCTATGGGGGGACCCCGTGGAGAGCCGGGGGCTCCCTGGGCCTGAAGACGACAAACCAACTGTGATCAGTGAGCTCAGCTCCCGCCTGCAGCAGCTGAACAAAGACACGCGTTCCCTGGGGGAGGAACCGGTTGGTGGCCTGGGCAGCCTGCTGGACCCTGCCAAGAAGTCGCCCATCGCAGCAGCTCGGTGAGCAGGGCGGTGTGGGGAGGGATCCGTGCCTTGTCCGTGGCCCCCTCTGTCCTTCCTCTTGTCTGTTCTCTGGTTCTCCTGTTCCTCCTTGTTCTGTTCCATTCCTTCTGTGGCAACCCCCAATCCACCCCCGCCATCCACCTGAATCCGGTCTTGCTTGGCCTGCCTGAGAGGGGAGGTTCTTCTGGGCGTCTGACACATCAGGGTTGGTGCTCACTGTGTCCCTGTTGGTGCCAGAAATGGGAGCTGGGCTTCCCTCAGAGACTCAGGTTGGGCATGAGTCTCCATGGCCCTCCTGGATGGCCCCAGGGGTTCCTGTGGGTTCTCTCTCTGGCTCCTGACGCAGGCTGTCTTTACCATTAAGGGTTGTTTTGTGTTTTACTTTGGAGGTGCGCCTCCCTCCTCCCATCCTCTGTGGCCATGTGACTGCCCAGTGTGGCTGATACCCTCTGCCTTAGAGCTGCCTCCTGCCTTGCTTCCTTTGGCGGCTTGGAGCACACGGACTCCTTTTCTTTTGGGGGATCTGCCACTAACTTTCTGTTTCCCATCCTAGAAATATTTGTCTCTTGGCACCACCTTAGAATCCCTTAAACATGGATTCCCGTGTGTCATTTCTAAAGTGCAGTAAGAAGACAGATGGAAGTCACGCCATCTCCCTGCACTCCATCTGCCCTCTTGCCTTCTCCTCATCACTTCCCTGTCTGTCCTGCCCCTACCCAGAAGGATCTGAGCAGGGCCTGGCTTGCTGCTGAGGCTGTCACAGCTGCCGGAGCCCTGGGCTGATCCCATAGGTCTTTCCTTGAGGACCCGACTCCCAAGGCTCCTTCCAAAGAGGATCCTTCAGGCCCATGGGCTGCATGGATGCCGCTGGCAGAGCTGGTCATCCCCCACCCGCCCCCTTGTCTGCCTTTTTAAAGCTGCTTTTGCCTTCTGTGCCCCTAGGTCTCCCCTCCCCTCTTTGGGTCTGGGGGTGGGGTATGTGGATGCCACCTCTTGTTGACTCCTTCTTGCCTCCCGGAAGACCAACCTAGTGGGCCCTGTACTGTCAGCCTTGGAGGACAGAGTTCACAGCATAGCAACGTGTTCAGAACTTAAGGACTCTACAGGTCTTACAAAGGCCTGGTCATTCTGCCTTCTTTAGTTCAGGATTCAAAAGACAAGTGGGAGCTTGGGAAGCTCATGAGGCCTCTCCTAAGGTCCCGGGATGCTGCCTCCAGCTCCTGTCATCCTGGGGAATTGCTCTGGGGTCCTCTCTCCTTTTAGCCTCTTCTAACTCCCAGCCAGACTAGAAAGCCTTCTTCCCAGCATTGCAGTGTTGCAGGTGCCCGTAGAACGGGTGTTATAATCGGAGTGAGCAGCCTGGTCCTGGGCCTCTGTGCAGGACCAGACCCCTGAGGCTGGGGTCTCCTGACCCACACCTGACCAGCCCCCCGTCTTCCCTGTCTGCTTCTCCCTCCGCTCCTCTCTGCCTCTTGGTCTTGATGAAAATCAAAGCTATTTTAAAAAGTGCATAGCACAGTGCCTGGCCTGGTTCAGGCCTTCAATAAACATTTGTTAAATGGATGAAAGAACAAAGCAAAATGCAAATGCTGTCTTTTGTGATTTGAGATCTAGGGAGCTGGCTTAGGACGAAAACCCACAGGAGGACCGACTCAGCGTTCAGACTCATCAGGTGTTGATCCCCCGTGGTTGGGCTCAGGTGGGCCCAGGTCTCGTCACTGGCCCTGTCCTCTCCTGTGAGGCAGCTGCAGGGCAGGGTCAGGGGATTCCTCAGCCGGAACCTCTGGCACTTCCCCTTCTCTGAGTTCATCCTCCCACAGGGCTCTTCAGCGTTCTGTCTTGGTCGGGGCAAGGTTCTCTTATCCCTTGGCCCTGGCTTTCACCAGGACCCTGTTAGTTTTTCTTTCTCAGATGTGGGATGGGAAGGACACACCAGCAGCCCTGACCCTTACGTGATGTCTGTTCTTTTACTCAGTAGTTCCTGCAAAATTCTGATCTCTGATAGAGTTCATGTGGGTCCTCTGCTTTTCCCTGACTGATCACTGGGGTCTGGGGACATAGGGCTGTCATCGGCCGGGCTTGAGTCCTCTGTTCTCCCAGCAGCCGGGGTGATGGGTCCGCCCACCTAGCAAGCAGGTGCTGAGTGAGGGAGGGGGCTCTCCGGATGGACGTCCAGTGCTGTCCCTGGAGTAACCGGATGCTGGACAGCCTGTAACAACCAATGCTCCTGTGACCCGGCCCCCACCGGCGTCAGCAACTCACTTCCTTGCTGGTCATTGGCTTGGAGCCATCAGAGGGCCATGATGTCAGTGCTCAGCAGGTCACAGCTTAGTGCTGTAGTCCTAGATCAGCCACTGAAGCTCTGGGAACGTCCATCTCTCCCCTGCGAAGTGTATTTACAGCGAGCCGACTGCACAGGCTGTCGCGGGGCTGCACACAGCATCACCTGTGAAGCACCCAGCAGGCCCAGGGCTGGGGCCTGTGGACCCTCGCTGGTGTGAGCTGCCATTGTCTCTGCTGTCACTGACACCCAGGCACTCAGACACCTAGGCTAGGTCTTAGAGTCCTTTGTGGGAAAACAAGCCTATTGGATGCAGCATTGGAGACGGTCCTGCCGTATCAGTTTGTCTTCATACCGTTCCATTAGACGGACCCTAACAGAATCTCCATGTTCCAGAGAGTGAAACTGGCGTACCACAGAGTTTCCTTGCAGACAGACGGTGGTCTGCCTGACCATGAGCCCTGCTCTCTGGCTGCCGTAATCGAGGGCTGCTGTTGTTAAATCCCTTCTGATGACACACAAGGGGCTTTCCCTCCACAGAAGTGGCAGGTGTGTGCATCAGACTCACCCCTCTGTTGACTGGTCATGTGTGTCATAAGCAGCACCCGGTGCCACCTCAGTGGCCCACCCAGGCCTGCTTTTCCTTCTCAGTTTGCCTGCCTGTGTTACCATCTGCTCCAGCTCACTCTTCCTTTCACTCTCTTGTGCTCCTTCTTGCCTTCAGACCTGGGCTCAACTGCAGCCATCTGGAGGGGGCCCCACTGCCTGTCCTGGGCCCTTAACTTCTGGTGCTTCTGGCTGCAGGCAGCAGGCCGGAGCACAGGACACTTGGTGATGTCTGAGTCCAGTCCTGTTTCAGATCTGGTCCTTTGTCTGCCCACCACGGCTGTTGTCAGCTCTTGTCCTGCAGCCCGTAGTGGCCGGAGTCTGGTACTCACTCCTCACTTAGGGATAAAACTGCTGGTGGAACTGTCTAAAGTGTGGGAGGTTCTGACATCCAGGTATGACCGCTTCCTTCCCAGGGTCAGTCCCGGCAGAGGCGCTAGGTCACCCTCAGGGCCATATCCTGAGCCGTGTCTCCAGCCCCTTGTGTTCCACAGTGTTTGTCTGCCAGGCCCATCCTTCTCCTCCCTGACCGACACCACGAGGAAGGGAATGCCTACCCACCTTCTCCACAGATGACTCATTCCTGATGTGCTTTAGCCACAAGCTGTTCTGTGGCCTGAGAGCTTTCTGGGCAAGTTAAGCTGTCCTGTATGTCATGGAACCAAAGCTCGGTAACCTGTGGAAAAATGATCATCATCATCTGGGGCCACCTTTGATTTTCAGGGGAAGCTGGAGAATGTGGCACTCTCATGCTGCCTCTGGAAGGTCCAGGACCTTTGGCCTTTTGAATCCTTGATCCCAGATTTTCCACCTGCTCTGTGCTCCCAGTTCCAAGTCTAGCCCTGCTGGACAGACCATTCACCTGCCCAGAGCCCCTCCTCGGTCTCTGGGCCCCACACCTGACTCTGAGGCTGCACTGGGGCATGGCTCAGACCTGACTCGGAGCCCCACAGCTGGCCACAGGCGCCCCAGCTGTCTGAGGCTCACACTTGTCTCTGAGACCCTGGCTCCACACCTGGCTCTAAACTCCATTTGTCTTCCAGGCCCCATGCTCGGATCTGAATCCCATGTGGGGTCTGAGGTCCATAGCGAGGCTCACTTCTGCCTTGGTACTTAGCTTTACGTGGGACTCTCACATCTGGTTTTGTAGGTAAAGTTCATGGCAAAATAGCTTTGGAAACACAAAAAGAGGTTATTTGCTGCAGTACTTCTGGTGCCTTTGACAAGCTCATGTGGAGGAGGGCACTGTGTGCTGTGGTCTCCAGACCTGTTAGAGTCAGTTCCTAGATCTCACAGAAGACCCGTGTTCCTCAAAATGGTCAAGAAACCCTGTCCTAATGGCCTGCTGCAGACCCTGCCTGCTAATGTATTTGTCAGGGATGTGAACAAAGCACTGTGTGCTTGGCGGATCACACTGGTAAGCAGGGCCAAGGCCAGCAGGGCCTGCTCGATTGAAACCCAGACTGAATGTGTCACGTGCCTGCCAGTGGGGACCCTGCAGGCCACATGCAGCTGGGGCAGGTGTGTTCCCAGGGTCCCTGAAGCCTGTTCAGGGAGTAGGAAGAAGGTACAGAGGAGGGGTCATAGGACACTGGGGCCCATCAGAGCTGGAGCTGGAAACAGGCGGGGTGTGAGGAGCAAGACGTGTTACTGCAGAGGATGCACCGGAAGCTTGAGAGCCCATGTCTGGTTTTGTGCTCCTCTGAGAATTAGTTCCCTTAATGAGGCCCCTAGTTTGCAAAAGGCCACAGGCCTAGACCTACCCCATGTGAGTGCAGTGGCAGAAGGCCCGAGGCAGTAACCAGGGCCGGAGTGTGGACATTTTCCCGCCTGTTGGTCCCAGTGGGCTGACCGAGTTGGGCACGCCTGGCAGGGACGTGTCGTACTATTGTTGCATTTTGTTAGTGCATCTGGTATTTCTGGCTTTGCGCTGGGTACCAGGAGGCAAGGAGAACTGGTAAGAAGTGGAGTGAAGGGCCTGAGACCGTGAACGGTCTGGATCCAGAAATGGCTAGGGGGAAAGAGGAGGTCTGGGTTGATATTAGGAGTTGGTCATTGGTTGTAGGGTAAAAAGAGGAGCTGATGGTGGCTCCCAGGCTCTGTGTGTGGCAATGACAGGGTGCCATTCACTGAGTTAGGGATGGAGGGACATGTGTGGATACCCCAGTAGAGGTGTTGAACTCATCAGAGACTGTCTGGGTCTTACATGTAGCATTCCTGGGCACATCGGCCATAGCAAACGGTGTGAGTGGATAATGTTGCCCAGGAGAAATTGCAAACTAAGAAGAGGGGAGCTCCAAAAATCCATCTAGGAAGGAAGAGGCCTAGGAAAGAATGTCTCGAAGGGAAACAGATGAACAGATCAGCAGCGGGGTCTTGCTGACGGCCTGGGCAACTGCGGGGCAGAGGTCGGCGTGGGGAGGGTGTGGCAAGGCCAGACCTCTCTCACTGGCTGAGAGTTGCTGGGAAACAGACAGTGTAGGATTCAAATGTAGGTGGAAAGACGTGGGGCCGTGGGGGCCTCAGCGTGGTCTGGACTCAGCCTCTTCAGGGTGGCCGCTGGAGGTGTTCGTGGGTGATGGTGCCTGGCGAGGTATCATGTGTTATGTTAGAAGGGAGGTGGCCCAGAAGCTCTTTGGGAGGCTGGCAGGTGCTGTGGTGTGGCTGTTCGGCGGCCGGAGCCTGGCCAGGGAGGTGGCGAGATGGCTGAGAGTGACAGTGGGTGTGCAGGGAGGCCATGGGAACATGGAAGTCAGACATGGACACTGCTCGGGTTTGTGCCCTGGGGATGGTGTGGGCAGTACCCTGTTCCCCAAGAGAAAGAGAAGCAGACACCCAGGCCATGGGTGACCCCAGGCCCCTCCCTCCTGTGCCCTGGGGCTTTGAGGGCACAGCCTTCCTTGGGCGTTTCCTCTTGGCCTCCTGACATCTCCAGCATGCTCTGGGAGGCGGGAGCAATGTGACTGGCTCTCCTCACGTCTCTTGCCCTCTGGCTGCCTGGGTGCCTCTGGAGCCAGCCTGCCCTCTGCCCAGGTCTCCAGCTCAGCCCCTGCCAGTACTACCCAGACAGGCACAACTCTGCTCTGCCCAGCTTGGACCTCCTGGAGCCCAGACCCTGCTCTGGGCTCCAGCCGAGCCTCCCGGCTGTGCTGCCCATGCCTGCCCTGTGCCTCTGCCTTCACTTCTGTGGTCCTGCAACTCATCAGTGTGCTTCAGTCACACCTGAGACTCCAGGTACACTTGCCATCACAACTCCATTGAAAGCTAAGCCTTGGGGCAGGGGCAGGGCCAGGGTAGGTGTCCATCCTGTGATGCAGGTCCCCAGGCCAGGGCCACTGTGTCGGGTCTGGTGGGTAGAGACCAGGTGCATATTGCTGGTCCTGTTCCTCTCTGGGTGTCCCAAGTCAGGTCCCTCAGAGTGATTCTCTTGGAGTATCCCCTGGCAAACCCCTCCAGCAGTCACCACCACCTGGGCACACACCCCCAGGGGACCCCCCTGACCTAACACCACCCGGCACCTCCCCTCGGGAATCCCCCCCAACCCTGGCTGCTTCCCCACTTTGCCCCACTGTGCAGGTGGATCCATGGAGGCCAGATCCAGTGGGAGCAAAGACAGCTTATTCTGGTGGTTGGTGCCTGTGATAAGGCCCACCTCAGGTGTTCTTGAAGCCCCTTTCTTTTGGGGGGCACAGTATGGCCTCTTCAGGAAGCTCTGCTCTGGATCTGAGCAGCTGGGAGGAGGCAGTAGGGACAGAGGCTGAGGAGAGGACAGAAATGAGGTCCCATGGGAGAGACAGAGCTCAGCTCTCCACAGAGGGCTGACCTCCCACAGGTGGGAGACAAAAGACGAAACCTGCTTTAAGGGGAGCCCCATGCCTGTGTGGGGCAGGCACTGGTGATGCTGTGTGGTGAGGACAGCACAGAGGTTGGGGTGGGGGGACTCAGCCTGGGCAGGGGCAGGGAGGGGGTGGGAGGGCCACTGGAGAGAGGCCCGGCCAAAGAGGATGTCAGGGGCTCAGCACCCCCAGGCGCCAGGCACCTGCCGAGCACTGCAGCCACGCTTGTGGTTCACCTGCACTTGGAGACTTGCACAGGCGCCTCTCCTCCACCAGCAGCTCCAACTTTGTCCCTCCCACAGCAGCTGGGCCCTCTGCACCTGAGTGCCTCCCTCCACACCTGGCTGCCCGTTGTGTGGTTGCAGCTGTGGGTCGCGTGGGCCTGGCCGGCTAACTCTCTCTCTCATTGCTCTCTCCTGCCCATCTGCATGTGGCTGCTCTGTCGAGCTGCGCCGTGGTCCCGAGCGCCGGCTGTGTAAGTGAGCATGCTCATCCCATGCCTCTTGCCGTCCACACGCTGTGCCTGTCTGCTGGGTCTCTGCTCTGCGTGGCTGTGAGAGGCTCTGGTGCCACTGACAGCCCCTTGAGGCTTCCCCTGACCCAGTGGGGATAGGGATGGGAATGGGAGGACATGGGAGTGGGTTTTCTGTGGAGCTATCACCTCAGGTAGGCCTCCCACCACGGCAGAGCCAAGGAGGGGCTAGAGCTCTAGGGTCCTGTCAGGTGAGGCTGGGAAGTGAGCTGCCATCGGTTCTTGCGTGTGTGCGTGCGTGCATGTGTGCGTGTTGCGTGTCTGCGTGTGTGTGCTGCTGCCACTGCGGCATGTCTGTAACGCGTGTGGGCACCGTGGCTGCTGTTGTGTGCTGTCTGTGCAGGAGGCTGCCTTTGTGTTGTGGGTGTGCACGGCCTCACACCTGCCCTGCATGTGCTGCTGCTCCATCCGGGTGCGAACCCTGCCTGGTGTGTCTCCTGTGTCACGGACCTGTTCAACCTCGTGCCGCTGCCAGCCTTTATCACGACTCAGCTGTCCCTGGAACTAGCCCAGGGTCCCCTGGGTCTTCTCATGAGAGCAGAGCTGTGTGGGGGGTGGGCGGTGAAGGGTACTGCCCAAGTCTTACCGTCCAGGGCATCTGTGGATCCCGCCGTGCCCAGAGCCGGTGTCGGAGGCTGGCAGGAGGGAGAAGCCAGCCCTTTGCCATGAGAGGCTGTCTTTTCTTTGGTTGGGCTGCACTTGGAGCCTGGATGGAGTGGAGGGGGCCACCAGTCATTCCTCATATTCCAGCCAGTCACTGGCTCTGGTCCCAGGGGCCAAACGAAAGGGCCAGGGTAACCATAGGATCCCACCCTTATTTCTTCCTCTGGCCGGGCTACTCCCGCCAGCCCCAGCCCCAGCCCCAGCCCCTTTCCTCCTGGACCCTGCCCGCTCCCTTCCGCCCGTCCCCGCTTGGCTGTGCGCCCCTCACCTGGCGCTGACCCCTCTCCCTCCGCAGGCTCTTCAGCAGCCTCGGTGAGCTGAGCTCCATTTCAGCGCAGCGCAGCCCCGGGGGCCCGGGCGGCGGGGCCTCCTACTCGGTGAGGCCCAGCGGCCGCTACCCCGTGGCGCGACGCGCCCCGAGCCCGGTGAAGCCCGCGTCGCTGGAGCGGGTGGAGGGGCTGGGGGCGGGCGCGGGGGGCGCAGGGCGGCCCTTCGGCCTCACGCCCCCCACCATCCTCAAGTCGTCCAGCCTCTCCATCCCGCACGAGCCCAAGGAGGTGCGCTTCGTGGTGCGCAGCGTGAGCGCGCGCAGCCGCTCCCCCTCGCCGTCGCCGCTGCCCTCGCCCGCGTCCGGCCCCGGCCCCGGCGCCCCCGGCCCACGCCGACCCTTCCAGCAGAAGCCGCTGCAGCTCTGGAGCAAGTTCGACGTGGGCGACTGGCTGGAGAGCATCCACCTGGGCGAGCACCGCGACCGCTTCGAGGACCATGAGATAGAAGGCGCGCACCTGCCCGCGCTTACCAAGGACGACTTCGTGGAGCTGGGCGTCACGCGCGTGGGCCACCGCATGAACATCGAGCGCGCGCTCAGGCAGCTGGACGGCAGCTGACGCCCCACCCCCGCTCCCGCCCCGGCCGTGCCCTGCCGGCAGGGCCCCCCACCCCCACCCCGGGCCGCGGGCTCGGCCTGCCCCTAACGACGGCGCCCGGGCCAGGAATGTTGCATGAATCGTCCTGTTTGCTGTTGCTCGGAGACTCGCCCTGTACATTGCTTAGTGCTCTCACCGGCCGCCCAGCCCACCCAGCACACAGTCAGGAAGGGCGTGGACCAGCGAGGCTGGGGCGGGAGGGGCCGGGGGTGGGATGCTCTAGCCTGACCACCGCCTTCACAGCTCCTGGTGGCCATTCTCCCAGAGGGGGAACCTAGTCCAGCATGCGAGGTCAGGACCCGCCTTGGTGACTCGGGGGGAGGGGGGAGACATTGGGATTCTCGATGGGGGCCAAGGAGCCCCCCCTGTTTTGCATATTTTAATCCACTCTATATTTGGAACGAGAAAAGGAACAAATATCTCTGTCCGTAATAGTTTCCTCTCCCCTCCCTTCTACTTCCACTGGTCCCACTGCAGCTGCCCAGTCTTCCATCTCCGGCCCCTCACTGCCACTGCCACCCCACAACGGGGCAGGGGACGCTCCAGCTGGTCTGGGGTTGGCCAGGGCCCTAGTGGTCCGCCCTGGGGCCCCGGCTCGGCCCCTCCCCTCGCTGAGCTCTAGTGTGCCCCACCGACCTTTCAGGTGCTGCTCGTGGGGGGAGGGGCGGCAGGCCGCGGGTCCTGCTGTGCACCCGCGGGACCAGCCGGCCTGGGAGACCATCGGCCGGGGGGGTGAGGGCAGGGCCCTGCCGCTCCACCGCAGCCATCTTCCTCACAGGGTCTCTCCCCAAGGAGGGGGCCAGTTGGGTCCCCATGCTCTTGGGCAACTACAGCAGAGAAGCCTCCCTGCCTTGGACCCCAAAGTCTCCTGTCCTGCCCTTTGTGTGTGTGGGTGAAACTGGGTGCGTCTGAGCACGTGGGAGCCACGTGTGTGCCTGATTACTGAGTGGCCCAGGGGCCGCTCTGGACTAGCGTGGGGCTGTGGAGGCGTGCACAGTGTGCATGCATGGGGTGTGCCTGTGAAAGCACCCTGTCTCCTCTTCCAAAGAAAGTCCGAGGCCATCCTTCGCCCTGGGTCCTGCTGTTTGCCCAGCCTGTCCTTCCAGAGCCTCACCCAGCCTGAGCGGGGGTCCCTGGTGAATCCCTGCTGCTTGGGGAGGCCCCAAGGGCCCCTTGGAGGCAGCGCCCCCACCTTGGGCTTCTGAGGGGATCCTAGGGGGACCCCTAGAGTCAGGCCACCACTGGCCCTGGGGAGAGTCAAAGGCCCCCGAGGGTGCCCAGCCCCCCACACTGTGACTCCTCACACTCAGCAATGACCTGTGGGGTGGGGGCCCTGGGACGTTTTTAAACCTAGGGTTTGGAGTCTGGACTAAGCTCCATCCACGTCACTCACAAGTTTCTGTTTATATTTCTAGCTTTTTTTAATAAAATAAAAAAAAAGACAGAAAACAGAAGTTTTCACAACCCAGGGGCCTGGCACGCCGGTCTGTGCCTGCCCGCCCCGCCCTGGCCCACCGGCCCCACTCCCTGGGCGCAGAGTCACACCCACTCACCCTTCCGCCAACAGTCCAGGTCACACAGCAGCAGTCACTGTAACAGACTGCCACATACACACTCGGTCTCACACTCACCTGTGGGTTTTGGTTCCGTTCAATTTGGGTTTTTAACTTTACAGGGTCAGTTCCGCTTCACCTCCTTTTGTATGGAGTTCCATCCGGGGGGTTTCACCCCCTGCTCCAGTCCTGAGGCCTCCTGACCCTGACGTTGTGATACACCCCACAGAGATCTATGTTTCTTATATTATTATTGATAATAATTATTATAATATTATTATGTAATAAATTTATAAGAAATGAAGCCATGTCTCAGTTGCCTGCTTGAGGGGATATTTGTCTCTGTCCCTCATACAGGCCACACAAAGCTCCTCAGCCTGGACCACATGCACGGGTGACTCCCGGATCCCTATCTTTGACCTCCATGCCTAAGCACCCGGCATCTTCCAGCATCTTCTCCGAGTCTGCTGGAACCTAGCCCATGCCTCCTGCACTGAAGGCTTTTCTCTGTTCACCAACCCACTGAGTAGCACCTCCTAAGGTGGAGGCCGCTTGTCCCCCATGACCTCTGCCAGGTTTTAAGGCTAGGGTTTAAGACTTGCTTCCTCCAGTGTCCAGTTGTTTTTAAATTCTGCTGCTCCTGTCTTGGAACCCCCTCACATCTCTCGCAACTGTCCTACCCCACGGCTGCAGACCAAATTTAGGCCTCACTCCTTCCCTGCTGATTCATTGGTTTTTCTGTTTCCATTTCTGCCCTCTGCTCACAAACACTAGCCTGTCTGTAAATGCAGCTGGTGGATGGACCCCATGAGCCAGTCCGGCCCAGCCAGTGCTGCTGTGATCCTGCCAGCATCCCCTGCTCCCTCTGAATGCACACATGCTGCTCGCCAGTCTCCCCTCACCTCCTGCAGTCCCCGAGCCACCATGACGCCTCAGGGCTCTATGTCACACACGCCCCCTCCTTCTGCCTGGATCACCCATCGTTCGCCTGCGTCGAGCATACATAGCTTGGAGGCTGATCTCTGGATCCTGTCTTCCAGGACGTCTTCTCTGACCCGCCCGCCCTGGAGTTGGAGTTGGAGGTCAGGCTCTGCATCTGCACAGCCCTGGTGCTATCTCAAATTAGAGCAAGTTGGTGCTTTTCACCTTGGGTTGTCTGGCCAGTTGGATGTGAGGTTTACTTTTTGTTCCCACCCCGAGCCAGGCACCAGAGACAAGACATTATCCTTCAGGAGCGCACAGGCAGTCATGTAAGCAGGCGATAATGAGGTAAAAAAGACATGTCCTGGGTGGCACCTGGTGGGGGTGGTCAGTCAACAGGAGGGACAGAGACCGCTGCTGAGTGGAAGGAGGTGGTGAGCTACGTCTTGAAGGGTAAACAGTAAGGCAAGTGGGCAAAGGCAATCAAGAGGGAGCTGTGAGAAAGTAGAGGGCACAGGACCCAGCTCTGAGAGAGGGCCGGGGCTGCAGAGATGCGACCTGCCTGGAGGGGTGGGTTGCTTACAGGAGGGGCAGTGGTTTCAGAGCCTGTACACACTGGGTTGAGGTGGCACATGAATATGATAGAATGACAATCGCATACCTTGGCTCTGAGGTTAACCGTAGCCAGGGGTGGGGCCAGTGGCACCGTGGAGAAGTGCCACTAGCCCCAGACTCGGAGTCCCCCTGTGGAGACCCAGGTTTCCATCTGCAGCCTGGGGAGACCCTCCTGATGCCGCGCACTCAGGCCTAGAGCGGGTCAGGGGCCCCCTGCTCCCACACTCAGACCCTTGCATGGCCCCCCTCCTTGACTTCCTGTGCAGCCCTTTCCTTATGATGGCCTCAGTTTCTAATCCAAAAATGAGATGAAGATTAGGAAATGTTGAAAATTTGGAATTGTGTGGCCTCTGCTCTTCCTGTGGGCTGGCCGCCCCCAGCCACTCCCAAGACCTGTGGACAACTTTGGGGCCAGGCCAGGACATGGAGGCTGCTTTTGTTTTGTTTTAAGACAAGGTCTCACTCTGTCACCCAGGCTGGAATACAGTGGCAAGATCATGGCTCACTGTAGCCTCAACCTCCTGGAATCGAGCGATCCTCTTGCCTCCGCCTCCCAAGTAGCTGGGACCACAGCCGTGGGCAATCACACCTGGCTATTTTTTTTTTTTTTTTTTGGTAGAGGTGGGGGCCTCACTTTGCTGCCTAGGCTGGTCTAGAATTCCTGGCTTCAATCGATCCACCCTCCTCAGCCTTCCAAAGTGCTGAGATTACAGGCGTGAGCCACCTTGCCCAGCCTGAGGATGGTTTTCAAGCTGTCATCATCCATAGCCTCAAAGGGCCTTCGTCCTTCTCCGTGGCGCCATGCAGACCCTCATGTGCTCGCTTAAACCACCCCTGAGGCACCTGCTTCCCCTGGGTGAAGACCCGAAACCCACCCCTTTTTGGCCCTCAAGGTTTCACTGCCTCAACCGTTCTGACTCCCTCTGGGGTCTTCTTACCTTCCTGGCTGGCTGGACACTGAGGACGGATGGATAAGGTTTCTGCTCCTCACAGAGGGCGGTGGGGACAGGAACGGAAGAATAGGCGATTGGGGGCTGGAAGGGATTGGAGATCAGGGTGAGAAAAACTGGGGTGGGAGTTGGATTGCCCGGGTAAATAAGGAATGGGGACAGAAGTGGGTATGGCTGGCGAAGGCAACGGGTGGTTGGGGTGAGCAGGAGCAGCGAGAATGGCTGGGATGAGCTGGAGGGGTCCCTGGGGGTTGGGGTGGAAGCAGAGAACAGGGAGGAGTTTGAGGGGAAGCCCCCATCCTGCCCCCTGGGCTGGGCACTCTGCCTCAGCCTGAACCATGCCCTCGGATGGGACCCCACCTTCTGGCCCCAGACCTGTCACCCATCTCTCCTTTGCTCTTGGAACAGCATGAAGAAGGTCAAACAAAGTCACTCTGAGTTGAGATGTCTGTTGCTTCCATTAGATTAAATGAGAAAATTAAATGGGCTGGGCCAGGTACTTTTCCTGCAACCATCACTATAGCCAGGGGCAGGCACAATGACTGGCAGCCCCTTCTAGAATCAGAAGTGGGTAAGATTTGCAGAGTCAAACCATAATGGTCTTAGACATTGACATTGGGTCTTCAGACTTTGTTATTGATACCTCCTAAATATTTATAAAGAAATAGGTGCTATCCATTAAAAAACCTGAATAATATTTTCTTTAACAGTCAAAACTTTAATTTTTTTTTTTTAAATGGGGTTTCATCCCCATTGCCCAAGCTGGAGTGCAATGGTGCTATCTTGGCTCACTGCAACTTCTGTCTCCCAGGTTCAAATGATTCTCCTGCCTCAGCTTCCTGAGTAACTGGGACACAGGCGCCACCGCACCTGGCTAATTTTTGTATTTTTTATAGAGACGGGGTTTTGCCATGTTGCCCAGGCTGGTCTGGGACTCCTGAGCTCAAGTGATCTTCCTGCCTCAGCCTCTGAAAGTGCTGGGATTACAGGCATGAACGTTGTTTGCACTTGGGCCCACTTCTTGAATTCTTCTTGCCATTTCTTGAATTGTATTTCCAAAGTCTTTTTCTGGTTATTTATCAGACACAATTTGATGCTCAGTTAAAATAAGTGAGGCCTCCTAACACTCAGCAGTGGAGCTGAAACCTGTTCACATACAAGTCATCACATAGGACCTCCTGCCCTTCAGCTAGAGGCAGTGAGGCTACCTGACACAAAGGTAAAAAAAATCTCCTGACACTCAGATGGAGGAAATAAAGTGTCTTGAGCAGATAGGGCATATAGGAGACAGGAGGTTTCATGATTCTCAGGTAAGGGAGATGAGACCTCCGGACAACCAGGAAGAGGTGAGAATACCTGCAGACCTCAAGAGGTTGAGACAAGAACTTTGGACACCCAGAATAGAGGAGATCTCATGATACTCTGGCAGAGGAGATGAAAGTTCCATGCCACTTAGACAGGGAGATGAGACTATATTCAAGTAGAGGGTAGGACATGCCCTGGCACCCAGATGGGGGCAATGAGATCTCCCAGCACTCCAGTATGCCAGTAAAGACTTCAGAATATTCATAGAGGTAAAATACAACCTCTGGACATTCAGCTAGAAGATGTAAGACCTCTTGATTTTCAGGTAGAGAAAATGCGACAAGGTGACACTTGGGTGGTGTAGATGAGAATTCTTAACCTGTAGGTGGAGGCAATGCGGACCTCTGGCATTGAAGTGGAAAAACAGAGTTGTTGCTTTCAAGGAAGGAGGTGATCACTCCCTGACACTAGGTGATATATATGAGACCTACTGAACAGTCATTTGAGGATGTCGTAAGTATGACATTCAGTTAGAGAAAATAGAAAAATCAAGATCATCTGATAATCTGAAAACTCAACACAGGAAGAGGAGATGAGATGTCCTGACACTCAGGTTGGAGACATGGGACCTTCTGACACCCACTTAGGTGACGTGGAACCTATTGACCCTCAGGCTGGTTGAGATCTTACATTCAGGTGGAAGAGGTAAAACTGCCTTCAGGCAGGTAGGAGTGTGACCTCCTGACACTTGCAGGAGATGGAAAAGGTTTTAACATTCAGGCATTTGCAATAAGCTTTTGTCACACTCTGGTAGGTGAGATGCTAGTTCCTGACAATCAGATGGGAAAAATGATGCTTCATGATATTCAGGTAGCTGTGACGAAAACTCTTGACATTCAAGGATAGGAGAAAACAAAACACCTTGCTCCACCTCAGTCACAGAAAGGCAATCTGGAGACACTCAGGATAATAGGAGACCGTATGATATTCAGCAATGGACAAGAAGGTGGGCTTTGCAGTTATAAATTAGGGAAATTCAAAATGGCTCTCGGAAAAGTGTGTTGATAGCATGCACTTGGAAGAGGAAAAGAAATTTTCCCCAACAGCAATGAAGGATCAATTAATCTGCTGACCCCGACTCCTCTGATCCACAAACATGTTGCACTGTCTCATCACTGAAGGTCTGAGCCGCTCCTCAGTCTGTGAGTCTGCAGTGGTTACAGCATACCTGAGAGGCAGACCTCGAACCTGCACAAAGCCAGAGCCTTGGGTGATGTGGGGACCTCGCAAGAGTAACTGGGAATGGAGACCCTGGCCTTGGGACAGAGGGAATGAGGCTGCACAGGAGTCCGCCATCATCCTGGTGCGGGGGGAGCCTATGCAGGAAGGCAGGAGTCTCTTGGGCACAAACCAGTTAAGGCGAAGGGCTCTTACCTGGCTCGACTGCTGGGGGTGGGGTGGGAGGTCACCCCTGCTGATTGGCCAGGCAGCCACGGAGCTTTGTGAGGTCACTAGGCTCTCAGGTCAGGCAGCGCCGGGAGTATGGTTGAGATGCTACCAACTGCCATTCTGCTGGTCTTGGCAGTGTCCGTGGTTGCTAAAGATAACGCCACGTGTGAGTAAGTGTCAGGGCACCTTGGTGGGGGAAGGATCTTCTGAGGAGCAGGTCCCACCCTGACTCCCTCTGTCCAGGGCTAGGGAAAAGGAGACTGGGCTTGGGCCTTAGCAGTCCCTGGGTCTCACAGCTCCTGTGACCCACATCCCTAACCTGGACCCCCCTGCTCCCACAATCAGCAGCCTGGAGCCCCCAGACCCTCAGCTTTCATGGTTTCCTCCAGAGATGGACCCCTCAGCACCTCGGGCTCCTTGTGCCTCTCCCACTCCCCCAGCGACTGACCCCACTGTCTTGAAGACACAAACTCCTGATTTTGGGAGCCCTTATCCCCCCACAGACGGCTGAGACGTCCCAACCCGTGGTTGCGCCCAACAGCCCCAGGATATCATCACTTCACACTACTTGTGCCCCTAACCCCCAGTAGACTCTCTCACTCCAAGGTACCCCAAAACACCAATACCTCCCAAGCTATATGTGGCCTCCCACCTGTGACACAGTTCCCAGAGCCTCCACCTCTAGACCTCCACTGCTCTCAATGTGCCCCCTACACCTGTGGGCCACAGTATCTGCCCCTGGCTACTATCCCTCTTCCCATCACTGTCAGCCCAGTTCTGCAGCCCCAGGACCTCCTTCGTCACCTGACTCTTCCCTGAGTCTCCGACCCAGGATTGGTTATAAAGACCTCAGGCCATTACACCCCTCTATCCGCAGGTCCCACATCCTCACCTCTACCCTCCTGTTCTGCCCAGGGACGGGCCATCCCTCAGGGCCCATACAGCCTGTCCTGGCTTCCTGCGGCCTCCTCTTTCTCCATCTGTGACTGCACCCACAAGACGGGAGAAGTCGTGGCCGCAGAACCATTTCCTAGAGCCTGCGGGTCCTACATAGCCCAGGCTGCCCCTGCTTTCCCAGAAGCCGGAAGCTCTTCCCGCTTTCCCAACCCCATGTCCCTGCTTCCCCTCAGTTGTGGAGTTACAAGGACAGGCTGTGCTCATGCTAGGTTTGACTGTGTCCTGGTCTCTCCCCAGTGGCCCCTGTGGGTTACGGTTCAGGCAGAACCCACAAGGTGGTGTCCGCATTGTCGGCGGGAAGGCTGCACAGCATGGGGCCTGGCCCTGGATGGTCAGCCTCCAGATCTTCACGTACGGCAGTCACAGGTACCACGCATGTGGAGGCAGCTTGCTGAATTCGCGATGGGTGCTCACGGCTGCTCACTGCTTCGTTGGCAAAAAGTACGTGTAGGGATGCACAGAGGGAGGTCTTCAGAACGGCTCTTCTCAGAGAGGGGTGCTCCCCAGGGACGCTGTGCAGTCTCCCTGGGGCTCTGGGTCAAGTGGCTGCCACACTCTGGGGGCTGGTCCAGACCTTTGCTAGGGGAAGGCCCTGAGGGTCACTGTCACCAGGCTTTTGTCCAACCAGTTGTGACCTGGCTTACCTTTGTGCCCACAGTAAAGTGTATGACTGGAGACTGGTTTTCGGAGCAAAGGAAATTACATACGGGAACAATAAACCAGTAAAGGCACCTCTGCAAGAGAGATATGTGGAGAAAATCATCATCCACGAAAAATACAACTCTGCAACAGAGGGAAACGACATTGCCCTCGTGAAGATCACCCCTCCCATTTCGTGTGGGCGTTTCGTTGGGCCGGGCTGCCTGCCCCACTTTAAGGCAGGCCTCCCCAGAGGCCCCCAGATCTGCTGGGTGGCTGGCTGGGGATATATAGAAGAGAAAGGTGAGTATGGGAGCACCTCCAAGGGGGGACGCTGCTGGCCATTCTCCTGGTGGTCTTTGAGGTGCAGTGGTCACTTGCTGACACCCAGCCAAGCAACTTTCATCCTCCTCACGGCGCTATATGTAGATACATCACTGTGGCCTTCCATAGTCCCCTGTGCCAGGTCACACGATGGGTGACTTGTCTTGCTTTCTACAGGAGGACTGATGGCAGGTGCAGGCAGAACTGCAGCATTGCTTAGAATGGGCTTGAGGCTGTGTCTGTATTTGGCACCCGGGGCCCAAGCTGCTGGACCCTGGAAACAAGGAGCAACCCTGAAACAGCCTTTGGAGAAGAGCTCCAGATAAGGTTACGTGGCTGTATGAGAGCGCCTTCCACTCTCTGGGCCTCGGTTTCCTCATCTGGAAATGGAAGGGCTGGATCAGATGTCTCCAAACTGAACGTTTCCTGACACCTGTGATTCCAGGGCCCAGCCTTCCTGCTTCCAGGCTGTCTTTGCCACCATCAGCAGCCGCCTCTGGGGCAGTCATAGCACCGAATGTACCCTCTCCCTCCGAGTTACTTGACGTTTGCTCTGTAGACTGGGAAGGGGACAGGTGGTCGGTGTGGCTTTCTGTGGGTCATAGGCATTCCTCTATTTCAGGCTTCCTGGAGTGTCCACCAGGTACCTCTCCATTCAAAATGGGTGTAGCTGCCGCTCTAGACCTCTGCCTGTAACCAAGCTGTCTTTCCCCTGGCTCCCAGAAGATCTCTTGTCCATCCAACACTACCTAACACACTTGACACCAGATGAGTTCTAGGAGAGTAGGGGGAATTTCTTTCATACCAGACCAGGCTCATGGAGGGCCCCAGGTGTGACCTAGAACAAATTGTCATTACTGACTCCGTGGTCAGAGAAGTCCCAGACACCTCTCCCCACGTTCTCAGGCACACTAGAGATACTGTTTATCCCAGAAGCAACAGGTTACCCCATTAAGTCGCAGCAGTGGGTGGCAAGGTTTTGCCAGCAGGACAAGACCCAGTAGGACTTGATCTCTGCATGTGACCTATGCTTCCAGTTTTCCATAAGTGGTGAGTCCTCATCCAGTCACAGTAGAGATGTGAAGATGTGACTGAAATTAACTTGGCTCTCCATCTCTTTTTTTCCTTGATAATGGATAATGAGGCTTCTTAATTCAAGGCAATTCAGTCATTTGAGTTTAAAACGCAGCCTTTTTTGGGTAACAACAAAAAATCAATAATTTGAGGATTCTTCCTTTAACTCTTATTTCCTTCTCTGAGGAGGTGCTCTAAGTTTCTGACAGGTTTGTCACCTCTCCTGTCCCTCAGGGAAGGGAGTCTCATCCCAGCTGTCCTTGTTCTCACTGGCCTCGCTTGACACATGGCCATCCCCTCTGGCCTGGAGGGACAGCCTGTCTTCCAGCTGCCGATACCCATGGCTCTGCCCTGGCCTCTGTGCAGCCCCCTCGCCTGCCATGCTCTGTCCCCTGTCTGTCGATGTCCACAGCTCTTGGGGGTCCCTGTGGTCCTGGGAGGCTGAACTCAGGGTCCCCACTGCCAGTCATTGCTGTCCTATTCTATTACTCAGAAGGATTGTAGTCTCCTAGCTACATCTTGGATGCCATGCAAAACCTTTTTTGTTCTGGAATTCCCATAAACCTAATAGGATAGCTCTGTTTCTGTTTTTTTTTTTTTTCATTTTTGCAAACACATTCTCTACCCATAAGCCCAAGTCTTAAAGAAATCCCCAGGCTCCATCCAGCTCCTGTGATTCCTTCAGACCTTCGGAGTCTTACCACCTCCACCCCCGGGCTCCAGCTCCTGTGATTCCTTCAGACCTTCCGAGTCTTACCACCTCCACCCCCAGGCTCCAGCTCCTGTGATTCCTTCAGACCTTCGGAGTCTTACCACCTCCACCCCCGGGCTCCATCCAGCTCCTGTGATTCCTTCAGACCTTCCTAGTCTTACCACCTCCACCACCAGGCTCCATCCAGCTCCTGCGATTCCTTCAGACCTTCCGAGTCTTACCACCTCCACCCCTAGGCTCCATTCAGCTCCTGCGATTCCTTCAGACCTTCCGAGTCTTACCACCTCCACCCCCGGGCTCCAGCTCCTGTGATTCCTTCAGACCTTCCGAGTCTTACCACCTCCACCCCCGGGCTCCAGCTCCTGTGATTCCTTCAGACCTTCTGAGTCTTACCACCTCCACCCCCGGGCTCCATCCAGCTCCTGTGATTCCTTCAGACCTTCGGAGTCTTACCACCTCCACCCCCGGGCTCCATCCAGCTCCTGTGATTCCTTCAGACCTTCGGAGTCTTACCACCTCCACCCCCAGGCTCCATCCAGCTCCTGTGATTCCTTCAGACCTTCTGAGTCTTACCACCTCCACCCCCGGGCTCCATCCAGCTCCTGTGATTCCTTCAGACCTTCCGAGTCTTACCACCTCCTTCAACTCATCTGCTTTGGGGCTGGAAGAGCTATCCCCAGGTATTGCTTCTTTCCCATTGTGTTTTGAGTTCCAGCAGGCTTTTAAGCATTTGTTATTTAAAGCCCAGGTGTCGGCCGGGTGCAGTGGCTCATTCCCGTAATTTACCCAGCACTTTGGGAGGCCGAGGCGAGTGGATCACCTGCGGTCAGGAGTTCGAGACCAGCCTGGCCAACATGTTGAAACCCCATCTCTACTGAAAATACAAAACATTAGCAGGGTGTGGTGGTGGACGCCTGTCGTCCCAGCTACTTGGGAAGCTGAGGCAGGAGAATCACTTGAACCCAGGAGGTGAAGGTTGCGGTGAGCCAAGATTGTGCCACTGCACTCCAACCTGGGTAACAAGAGTGAAACTTCATCTAAAAACAAACAAACAAACAAACAAACAAACAACTTGCCAAGGTGTTGGGATTGAGAAAACCCTTTTCTATTTCAGGACACTTGGCTCTTCACAATGAAACCCATGGCTTTCAAGACTATGGGCTCTGCCATAGATTTAAAAAGTCATCTTGGCCAGGCGCGGTGGCTCACACCTGTAATCCCAGAACTTTAGGAGGCCGAGGCGGGCGGATCACAAGGTCAGGAGATCGAGACCATCCTGGCTAACACAGTGAAACCCCGTCTCTACTAAAACATACAGAAAAGATTTACCATGGGTTGTGGGTGCGGGCCGCTCTGTAGTCCCTACTTGGAGGCTGGCAGGAGATGGGTGAACCCGGAGGTTGGTGTTTGCGTGACCGAGATCGCCCACTGCTCTCCAGCCTGGCAACAGAGTGAGACTCCATCTCAAAAAAAAAAGAAAAAAGAAGTCTTGAATGGCTAAGACGCCCCAGGGATGTTTGTTCATTGTGTTTCAAGCCACCCTTACCCAAGGGCAGTGCATTGACAAGGAACTCTCACTGCTTTTGCTGGATTGGTTAGGAAAGGTGAGGGCTGAGGGATAAAAAACATAAAGCCCAGGGAACCCACTCGTTCAGGCAAGCCGCTGCAGGACACCTGCCCGTGCCTAGCCCCCTTAAGGGGCTTGCCATCACTCTTGTTTCCTGTTCTCCTGTCCTTGGGCCTGTGTAGCTATGCTCTGGGTCTGCCCCTAACTTCAGTCTGCTCCACATCTGCTCTGCAGGTGGACGTCCCAGACCCCCCCCTTGGGATTAGTGGAGGGCGCTGTTGGTGGGGGCCAGAGTGGCTTGCTGCTGTTGGGACCCTTCTGTCTGGTGGACCACCCTGTAAAAGGACAACTCTGACTGTGTGCACGTAGCATTGGGTTTTTAACCCAAAGGTCATGGTAAGAGTCAAGGCTTGGTCTTTGTTTTTTGAGGATGGAGTTTCCGCCTGTCACCCCGGCTGGATACAGTGGCGCATCTCGGCTCACGCAAGCTCCACCTCCCGGGTTTTTACGCCTTCTTCCTGCCTCCAGCTCCCGATAGGCTGGACTACAGGCCGCTCGCCACCATGGCCCAGCTAAATTTTTTGTATTTTTTTAGTAGAAGACGGGTTTCACCGGTTAGCAGGAATGGGTCTTTGATGCTGCCTGACCCTTGTGATCCCCCGCCTCGGCCTCCCACAAGTGCGTGGGATTAACAGGCGTGAGCCACCCTGCACACCAGGCCCGAGGTCAGGGTTTCAAGGGGAAGTTCCGCATATTAGGGGTGCTTTTAAACCGCCTTGCCCCTGCCAGGCTTGCCCAGTGTGGTGGGAGGCGCAGTTGCCCCGAGCTCCCTTGCCCGTCTCCCTCAGGAAACAGATCTGTAGCATATGGGGAGGGGCTTATCGATCCAACTCCAGCAGATGCTGTCCACAGCTGAGCCGAGGCGTCCTGATGAGGGACAAGAAGCAGGGAGGGTGGCCTACAACCAGACTGTGGGAGTGGACAGTGTGTCTCAGACTGGAGTCTGGAGAGGAGCAGTCCTGAGGCCAGGCTGTAGCCCTACCACATCTCTACTGTGACCTGGGTGGGCGGTGCTCCAGCCTTCTGGTCCAAAATGGGAATAACGGGACCATGTGACTCAGTGAGTGCTTAGTGCACACTAGGTGTTATTGGTAATACTGCAGCTAACCTCCATAATCCACCGTTAATATGCACACCCACCCTCCACCGCCCATTCTCCATCTACCTGTCCATGGGCCTCCACCCTTCCTTCCTCTCTTCCTCGCTCCTCTGGACTTGATTTGGATAACATTTCCCCACCTCCTCCCACCACCTCTCGTCTGCTCTTTCTGGTGTATAAGGAGAGGTCGGGGCATTGACTAGATGGGTCTGAGGTTTAACTGGAGCGTCACAGAGGATGGGGTTCGGTGGGGCAAGGAGGCAGGGCTTTTTTCCGCATCTCCCATGATCACTGACCACCGAGTGGTCTGACTGTAGCCCCCAGGCCATCATCTATGCTGATGGAGGCGCGTGTGGATCTCATCGACCTGGACTTGTGTAACTCGACCCAGTGGTACAATGGGCGCATTCAGCCAACCAATGTGTGCGCGGGGTATCCTTTAGGCAAGATTGACACCTGCCAGGTAACCTTCCTTCTGGCTTCTGGGCCCCTGGGTCCCTCCGGGACTCTCCCGGCCCCTGAGAACATCCTCATTTTGGATCCCCAAGCTCCATTATCTCCACCCCTCTGCCTCGGGCCCTTCTCTAGTGACTGCTTCCCCGGTCCCTTTTCTAGCACCTACAGTCACAGTGGGGATGAGAGGTGGCAGCCACTGGCAGCCCCTGCCATGTGCCCGTATGGACACGTGCGCTTGCTCATCTCACTGCAAGGAAAGCCCTGACAATCCACACCCTCCTCACATCCCAAATGAAGCCCTTGACACCCCCTCAAACTTTGCCACAACCACTTGTGTTTATGGCAGCAGGAAACCATGTGACTGTGGAAATTGTCCTCCCAGAGCCTTCTGACCCCTCTTGGCAGGGAAAGAGCGGTTCAGGCAGATCGTGACCTCTGTGTCCTTCTGGGCAGGGGGACAGCGGCGGGCCTCTCATGTGCAAAGACAGCAAGAAAGGCGCCTACGTGGTCGTGGGAATCACAAGCTGGGGGGTAGGCTGTGCCCGTGCCAAGCGCCCCGGAATCTACACGGCCACCTGGCCCTATCTGAACTGGATTGCCTCCAAGATTGGTTCTAATGCTCTGCATATGATTCAACCGGCCACCCCTCCACCCCCCACCACTAGACCGCCCCCAATTCAACTCCCCTCCTCTCACCCTATCTCTGCTCACCTTCCTTGGTATTTCCAACCGCCCCCTCGACCACTTCCATCCCGACCACCTTCAGCTCGGCCTCGACCCCCACCTCCACCCCTGCCCCCACCCCCACCTCCACCCTCACCTTTACCCCCGCCCCCGCCCCCACCTCCACCCTCATCTACCACAAAACCTCCCCAAGGACTTTCTTTTGCCAAGCGCCTACAGCAGCTCATAGAGGCCTTGAAAGGGAAGACCTATTCCGACGGAAAGAACTATTATGACGTGGAGACCACAGAGCTCCCAGAACTGACCTCTACCTCCTGATCTGACCCGGTTCTCAACAGACCCAGTGAGCCCTTCAGTGCTGAGAAAAAGGAAAGATGAAATAAATAAATAAACATATATATATACACACACACACACACACATCTGTATGTATACATGCATAGACCTCAACCCAAATTTCCCCTAAAAAATCTACCCTCTCGCCTTCACCCTACAATAAGGTGGAATTGCTTGTACATTAGTGCCAATTGTGTTTTTTAAAATCTTGATTTTTAATGCTGGAATGAGGTGACCTGGGGCTGTAGACCAGGAATGGTCCTTATTTCTCACTTAGGGAAAACGACAAATGGTGAAAATAAAAGAGCCATCTCTGCATGTGCAAGTCAGAGGGGGTGGGCCTCCAAAACAGCAGCTGGGAGTGAGCTGACTGGGAAAGAAGGGGTGTGGGTCCAAGTCGTCTATCAGGAGGCCGTGTTCTTCTGGTGGTGTCGACGCCCACAGAGTAGATTCTGCGTGAAGGTTGAACCCCGCAGAACACAAAGGCTAAGGAGGCCACCGGGCCACCAAAACAAGTGTCTACTACCAAACACAATTTTACTGTTCATTACTTGCCTGTAGTTAAATCTTAATAGTTCCTGGATTTGAGCAAATTTAAAAATGTATTCTTTGCTAGAGCTTTCCAGGAGCTGCAATGGGGAATACTTTTTGGATGCCCCTGAGTGAGCTTTGAATGGCTTCCTTAGGATTTGGGATTATTTATTTTAAGACCTTCCACTGCAAGGAACAGAAAACCAGTTAGAGCCATTTAAGTGATAAGGATGAAAAGATGTCACACAGAACCAATAGGAAAGGCCAGAAGCAGTTACCAAGAATGGTGAGGAACCCAGGCAAGGCATGACCCTGGTCTGCATGGAGTACCTGCCCCGCCCTGCCCCATGCTGGGGACAGCAGCATAGAGTACTTGGAACTGTTCACATCTATTTGCAAAATCCTGGGAAAGAAATCCTCCAGCCTGACCAGTATGGTGAAACCCCATCTCTACTAAAAACACAGAAAAATTAGCCGGGTGTGGTGGCGGTGCCTGTAATCCCAGCTACTTGGGAGGCTGAGGCAGGAGAATTGCTTGAACCCGGGAGGCGGAGGTTGCAGTGAGCCACG